CATGCGGCGGGACTTACGCAACTTTAATACAGCTCGTATTGAAGAAGCGATCGAGCGGAACCAAGGCTCCAAAGTCTTTGCCAGAGATCTGTCTGCCAGAAAGAGCCAACTGTCAAAGCTGAAGACCGAATGTGGCAGCATCGTTTCCGGGGCACCTGAGATTTTGAGTGAGATTGAGAGGTTCTATGGGCAGCTGTACACGTCATCGTTGGAGCCACACGCAAGTGTGAGTAACGATCCAAGAGCGAGTCTTATCCGACATTATTCCGATGATATCCCGGACGTCAGTCTGAGCGAGATTAGAATGGCTCTCCAGCACCTTAAAAACGGCAAAGCCCCAGGCCAGGATGGAATTACAGCGGAGCTTCTGAAAGCGGGTGGAAAACCGGTACTTGAAGTCCTTCAGAAGCTCTTTAATTCCGTCCTCTATGGTGGCATTACACCGGAGGCGTGGAGCAGAAGTGCGGTGGTCTTGTTCTTCAAGAAAGGCGACAACGCTCTCTTGAAGAACTACAGACCGATTTCCCTTCTGAGCCGCGTCTACGTGCTGTTTTCGAGAGTCATTACGAATCGTCTCGCGCGCAGACTTGACGACTTCCAGCCTCCCGAACAAGCCGGTTTCCGAAAAGGCTTTAGCACCATAGACCACATACATACCCTTCGGCAAATTGTACAGAAGTCCGAGGAGTACAATTTGCCACTATGTCTGGCGTATGTGGACTATGAGAAAGCCTTTGATTCCGTCGAAATTTGGGCGGTGCTGCAGTCCCTTCAGCGATGCCAAGTTGACTGTCGGTATATCGAAGTGTTGAAGTGCTTGTACAGTAGGGCTACGATGGCTATCCGAGTACAGAACCAGAGTACGAAACCTATCCAATTGCAGAGAGGTGTAAGACAGGGTGACGTCATATCCCCGAAACTCTTCACCGCTGCGTTGGAAGACGTTTTCAAGCTTCTGGACTGGAAAGGATACGGTATCTACATCAATGGCGAGTACATCACTCACCTTCGATTTGCCGACGATATAGTCCTTATGGCAGAATCGCTAGAGGACCTAAGCACTATGCTCAATGACCTCAATAGTGTTTCCCAACGGATAGGTCTTAAGATGAACATGGACAAAACAAAGGTCATGTTTAATGTCCATGTCACACCTATGCCGGTAGTTGTTGGGAACACTAAGCTCGAAGTTGTTGACGAGTATGTTTACCTGGGACAAATAGTCCGACTAGGTAAGTCCAACTTCGACCGAGAGGTCAATCGACGGATTCAATTCGGTTGGGCAGCGTTCGGGAAATTACGGCACATCTTCTCGTCAGGTATACCTCAAAACTTGAAAACGAGACTGTACACCCAGTGCGTGTTGCCAGTGATGACATACGGAACTGAGACGTGGTCCTTCACTGCTGGCCGGATGAGGAAGCTCAAGGTCGCTCAGCGAGCTATGGAGAGGGCTATGCTCGGAGTTTCTCTGCGTGATAAACTCAGAAATGAGGATATCCGCAGTAGAACCAGAGTGACCGACATAGCCCAACGGATTAGTAAGCTGAAGTGGCAATGGGCCGGCCATATAGCTCGAAGAACCGACAACCGATGGGGAAGAAAGGTTCTCGAGTGGCAGCCTCGTACCGGCAGGCGAAGTGTAGGGCGTCCCCCCACTAGATGGAGTGACGACCTGGTAAGATGTGCAGGAAGTCGATGGATGCAGGTGGCTCAGGACCGTGCTTTGTGGCATTCTTTGGGGGAGGCCTATGTTCAGCAGTGGACTTGTGAAGGGCTGTAATGATGATAATGATGAATCGACACGAGTCTGTTTTTAGCTTTCGGAGAGCAAACGAGAGACATCGACAGCAAAGCATCCTCACTCCAAAATGTTGATGTAGAATGGTATGAATGCTCCCCGAACTAATGCCTACAATCTTTTCGATGTCCGTATATGTGATTCGTGGGTCTTCTCGCACCAACATTTCAGTAGTCCATACATTTTCTGCCGTTACTGCTGTTTGCGGGGCCCCGGTTCTTTGGTGATTTTTAAGATTAATTTTACCTCTTTTGAATTCAGCAAACCACCTAAAAATTGTTGCGCGTGATGGAGCTGAGTCCCTTAATGCTGATTGTAACCGTTGTAAACTTAATTGTTCGGTTAAACTAAATTTAAAATCATAATATATCATAGCGCGCAAATGTTCACGGTTGAGATCCATCGTTTTAAATGAAAAGCGCGGGAAGCGTTGCAGGAAAATTAATAGAACTTAACTTATCTTCACGCACAATCCCTGACGGGGTAGCCAGAGAGAACAGATCGCCAAATGTCACGATCCTTACATACCTCTTTCGCTTCTTTCAGATTCATTATCTTCTTCATACCTGCACGTCTAGGTATCCGAGTACTCTTGACCCTACCCTCTTCGAGCTATTTGTTCACATGGTCTTCGAAAGTTAGTCTCGGTCTACCTCGACACCTTTTAATATTAACTTTCGCGCTATATATTTTCTTCACCATTCGGTCTTCACTCATTCGCTCAACGTGCCCAAACCACCGAAGCACGCCCTTATCAATTTTTGTGATAAGGTCATCTTTCAAATCTGCTATATTGCGAATCTCTTCGTTTCGCTTTCGGTCGGCCATGGTAACGCCGCACATTTTACGAAGAGATCGCATCTCCACTGCATTCAACTTGCTTTTATGCTTCTTCTGGCATACCCCGGTTTCGCTGCCATATAACAAAGTCGGTACCAACACTGCGTTATGTATTGCAAGGCGTGCACTCTTCACTACGCCTTGCCTTTTGACTAACGCAGTCAGGGCACCATTGACTTTGTTCCCGGCAGCGACACGCCTGTCCACATCTAAATCACATCTTCCATCCCGGCTAAAAGCACTCCCCAAGTATACAATTTCATTTACTTGTTCTAGACATTCCTGATTTACCCATATTTCACACTTCGTTCTCTCTTCGTCCCTTTCAAATACCAGAACCTTAGTTTTATTAGCGTTCAAACGGAGACCTTTAATTTCACATTCCTCTTTCATACACGTGACTAATGCCTGCAGTTCTGCCTCTGATGGTGCAATAAGCACTGCATCATCAGCATACAGCAGACAATTTACTTTAATGTCACCCAATTTCACACCCAAACAGCTATCTTTCAGCTTTTGTAAACAGCTGTCGAGATACAGTATGAACAGCCAGGAAGACATGACACAACCCTGTTTTACGCCCGTTTGGACGCTAAACATGGGTGACAGGTCATGCCCTACCCGCACACAGGCTTTACAGTCACAGTAAAGAGACTGCACAGCCCTTAGCAATCGACCATCCACACCATACCCCGGCAACAGTTCCCACATTTTCTTCCTTACAACCTTATCAAATGCTTTCTCAAGATCCACAAAAGCACAGAAAATCTTCTGGTTAGCAGCCAGAAGCTTTTCCGTGATCATGCGGAGAGAAAACATTTGATCCGTGCATCCTCTTCCAGGTCTAAATCCGCATTGTGCCTCCCATAGAAATCTTTCCGATTTCTCTTGCATCCTACGTGTCAAAACCTTCGAGTAAACTTTACTTGCTAAACTGGTCAAGCTGATCGCCCGATAGCACCCGCAGTCAAAATGTGAACCTTTACCTTTATATAAAGGCACAATGACTGCGGATCGCCAATCATCCGGGACATCCCCCGTCCGCCAGCACAAATTGCACAGCAGATGAAAGCTGTCCCAGACGCGAGGCCCACCATACTTGACCATTTCAGCAGTAACTCTGTCTAGTCCCGCAGCCTTACCACATTTCAAACTTCGAATCGCACGTTCAATCTCTTTCATACTGATGACCTCAGTGTCATCGAGGTCCGGGTCTGGCGTACCAGTCACGGCGTCATCCCCGGATCCCTCACTAAGATCATCACACGCATACATTTCTCTATAAAATTCGCTCCATCGCTGCATGACGTCCGATTTTTCTGAGAGGACGTCATTAGTTCTCGAAAGCACTTTGTTCATTCTTAAGGCCGTCGCACCACTTCGGGTCCTTCCAACCTCTTTCCAGAAGAGTTTGGAGTTCTCCTTAAAGTTGTGCGACAACCTTTCGTCCGCTTCCATTCTACACCTTTCACGCACTTCCTCAATCAATGCTTTCGTGTGAACTTTCTGCAGCCTATATCTTTCTTTCATCTTCTCTCTCATATCCTTATCATTACTAGAGGCCAAGTAGTCTAACCATGCTTTCTTCTTCTTCTTTACAGCTTCTTTCACTTCATCATTCCACCATGCATCTCTTCTTTTACTAAACTAATAATTTAGTTTAGTAAAAGAAGAGATGCATGAAAATTAATAGGACTTTGTTATTTTTTAATATTGAGCAATTGGCTTATGGAGTTTTATTTTTAAATAAATTTGCTTTTTTCACACGAATGCGTTCCATTTTTAAACTTCGAGCATCTCAAAAGCTATTGAGTGACTTACGTATTCTGTGAGAGCGTGGTCCTTCCCCGGTCGAGCAGACCCATTCGTGCTACAACTATACTACTCATATAGCTGCAGCATGGCTCTAACACGTATAACATTATGCATTTTTATAGATTATCAGTATTGAAGACACACATAACTATTGTATCATATCTATCAATTCAATCATCAAGTCCATGACTAATAAATACAGGGAAATTAACACGACATAGCCTTGGTTGGAGAGCCGTGGTAGCCAAGGCTTAGCGCTCGCTGTAAATTTCATAGTACGCGAGCAACCCGGGTTCGATCCCCACCAGCATCAATGAAATTATTAAATGCTACATGTCTGAGAAATATAAAAAAAATTCAAAGACGCGTGGCGGACACTTCGTTGCCATAAAACCCTCTCAGAAGTGATAGGAGGCCTGTGCCCAGCAGTGGGACGTACAAAGTATGTAACTGTAACTTTTTTATGTAACTGTAACTTTTAGCCTTTGTTATCAAAATAATATCACATTCTCCCACTTAAACAAAATCGAAATGAAATATTTACTTGAGATGTCGCTGCAGCGCGCTGTGCTCGGTAAAGCTGTGTCCGCACTTGCAGCACGACGTGCCGCGAACGCGTTGCGTAACTCCGCCGGCATCCTCCGAGCCTGAGCAATCAATGAATAAATGGATTTATTTTTGTTTTTTTTTTTTTAAATAAAAATAGAAGATATCACAATAAAGATCGCATGGTATATGCGGCTTTTAAGGATCTAGGGGAAGATTATTTGTCGACCGCCGTACCAAACGTCTCGCACTTTTCTTTTATAAAACTGTAGTGACAAATGAACTCACAGTCCACCTGATGGTAATTGGGTGCTGCAGTCCATGGATACATACAGCCAACTTTAAGCAAAGAAGGCTACATGCAAGATGCGTTGTCACTCTTGAAGACTTACGCTCTTCGCGTAGTCGCATCATAAGTGTTATGACGCAACGCGTACGAGACTGCAGTGTTTTACAAACGAATTGTAGAGTGGACGTATCGTTTTGTAAGATCGCAATTGAAATCATGGCATTATACCGTTGACGTGACCAGATGTGTTGGGTGAATTTATAGATTCTCTTACTTTCTCTTCAAACGAAGAGGATTTTTTATTGTTTGATTATGTAAGAAGTAGAAAGCGATATTTATGATGATATTTCTGCCCACGCTTTATCCGTTACATCTTTCCTTGAATATTCATTTAATGAATGATTTTATAGATAAGGGAACGCTTCAACCAGTTTCACGAATTCATTTTATATTCAGGGTATATTTCGTCACCCGTGAGGACTAAGATGGAATGCCTCGGTTCCAGTAAAAAGGGTCTCCGGTTCACTACACTCAGCATACGAAACACAGCAGCGTTAAGCTGCTATTCTACGCTGGTATTCTGTGAGAGCGTGGTCCTTCCCCGGTCGAGCCGACCCATTCGTGCTACAACTATACTACTAATACAGCTGCAACATGGGTCTACCACGTTTAAAAGTACCTAGTCGGAAGGAATGCTAGACAGAAAAGAAGTGCTGTCACCTAGTAAACTTTTTCACGCTTTACTCCCTGGTACTGGTACCTTACATCTAGTACATATAAAGTGGTATACCGCACATTTATCGCAAGCGATAATAGTCTTTTTGTCCTTTCTAATAGCCACCTCTTACTACAAGGGTACGAAATTGAGAGATAGATTTTTATATGCCACCATCACACAGTGTTCAAATTGTTCATTATAGTTTAAAATAAACAGAAAATATTATCCAACTTATTTTAAAAGTACGTTGTTTAATATTCCTTGAATACGGTTGTAGACTCTCCTCAGGGATGACAACACATCTACATTTTTATTGTTAAGAATAAAGGTGACAAACGAACACATAGTCCGTCAGATGGTAAGTGGATGCTGTGAACCGTAGAAATCTACATCTTTGTTCGATTAAAAATAAATTGCAGAAACGCTGTCATCTCTAAGGACTGAGATAGAATGACTCGTTACAAGTAAAATGAGTGCCTGTTTCGCTACACTCATCATACGCAACACAGCAACATTAAGCTGTTATTCCACTATGGTATTTGATAACAGCGTGGTCTTACTTCTGTCGAGACGATCTATTCACATTGCAACAAAACACTTACGTGGTAGAACCACGTAAAAAGTATAAGTTAATAATTATTCTATTGTGAGACTTCAATTTCTACTTCGGGACTGTCCAGCAGAATCTACAACTATTAGTCGGCTTATTCTTTATTGCGTGACGTTTTATAATATTTATGTATTTTTTATGAATATTATAATATATATATATATATATATATATATATATATATATATATATATATATATATATATATATATATATACAAAATCAGGATCAGTATTCAAACCTATAGAAATAACTTTTTTTTAAAACCATACCATATTTTTTTTTAATATGGTTTTATTACCTCTTACTGAGAGACTGAGACTAGCCGATGCTAAAGGTAAGTAAAGCGGGGTCTTTGACAATCCTCTTACTCCCCAAACAATGCAGAGGTGTTCTGCCCTCTCCGACGACCCTGTGTCCTACAAAAGTTCTTAAATTCGTAATAAAAATATTGTGGGTCACTTATAGGGATAAAAACTATCCTATCTCTCAAGTTGGACCAAACTGCACACAGTGTGCAAATATTCATTGCTATCAGTTTAGTAGTTTTGGAGTTCATTGCGGACAAACAATGTGACACGTAATTTTTATATATAAAGATATATAATATATATATATATATACTCTTACATATCTTTCTTAGCACCTTATAGCCTGAATCTTCAAAATGGCGAAACATATTTAATTCGAACAATAATTGTAACTTAAAAAATGTCTGCATTATACAAGTAATATTAGATAAAATATGCTACTAACCTTGTTCGTCGCTCATGGTACTGTGTTCTTTTTGTCTATGGGCATACAGGGCATTTTTGTTTGGCAGCACCTCGCTACAGTCACGGCAAGGTATTCTGATGGGATCGTAAAATATAAGTTTGTTATGCTATTTTAGACAAATATCTTCATCATATATGTAGGAACGGAATATGAGACGATGAATGAAATGGGATGTTATAAAGATAGGTACAGTATGAGTGAGCAAAGACAAGAGAGAATGAGGCATAGACAGTTATAGACAAATAAGACATAGTGTACAATTTAGTTTTTGCTATAAAACAGTACTCCCTGTTTTATTACTATACTCTATTTATTAGGAGAACGGAGGTTAAAGACGTAAGACGTACAAGTCGCGGCACGTAAGTCTAGCGCTGAACGAAACGTAGAGGGGACGCACACGAATTGAATTTCACGAATGCGACTGCAGAGCCAATCAGAGCGACTTATGCGCATTTACCGGTTCAGTGCGGATGACACGCCAGGCGTGCCACCTATACTTTTGTGTGTGGCGTATGACACACGAGTCGTGTCTTTTTAAAATCATTATAACTCGCTCAAATTGCGTTTTTGGAAAATTTATCTAGAACAAAATATTCATTATTTTGCAAGTACTTCGTTTCTGGATATTTTGAAAATTTGAAATTTTTAGGGTTTGACAACTTGTACATGGTACTCTTTTTACTTTGTGGGTTTTCAATCATGTGGAAAAGTAACAGTCTTAATAAGTAACAAATAATAGCACTCATTGCGATCGCTCACAAACTCAAGTTGTAAATAAATTTCTGGAAAACAAGTCTCCTATAAAAAAACAATGAGTTTGTCTTATTGTTTAATTTTGCTTAAAATGGTTGAACTACCGTCGTATTACTATCATATGGCCGAATAGACCTACGAAGTACCATGTGCTTTTGTGATATGGTCTTAGGTTTATTTTTGCTTGAAACAGTTTGAAACCGATCATGCATAAAAAAAGTTCGCTAATAAATAGTCTTTCGTCAATCCGCCGTCGTATAGCGCCGGCGTTTGTTTCCTTTCGAAAACACTTGTTTTGCTATTCTTACTAATTAGACGTTTTCAAATCGACTTTACTTTTACATTTGTATAACATTAAAAAATATTTAACATTTGTAAATATTAATGAATCATAAACCTTATTTTTATCCAAATTAAGGTTCTTGATTGTTTGATATTTACAAATATTATTATTAGGTGAAAATTTAATTTAATAAAAACCAAGGTTTTGTAGGGTGATTTAGCTGTACCTGTAAATGATTTTTTATAAAACAAAAAATAGTACAAAAGGTTTGTAATGTCTGCATATATATATTTATAATAAAAAAGTCACTCTCAATTTCAAACAAAACACGTAGAAAAACACGTAGTTACCCACTAAAAACAAGTATCCTTCAGTTTTTAAGTGATGTGTCTGTGTGGAATATTTGTTCGCCGCCACAGCTAAAAGTTGTCGAAAATTAGTGCCGCAACGAATCGGTTAAGCCAATCAGCGCAAATTATGAGCAATAACGGTCACCGCTAAACTTTCGTGCCACTATTTATAAGACGAGTGTTACGAAGTCAATTGTTTTAACACATTGAATATTGAAAATATAAGGAGATTGGGTTAAGACGACGTTTTTTTGAAGACCCATTCCCATATATATATTATAGACATTTTTAAATGTCGCACTGCGTGTATTTAATCAGCCAGTTCAATTACAGCTAACAAAGGACAGATTCGTGATACAATCCTGAAGAGTGAAGACTAAGTTGAAATTACTGACAGTTTTTTAATTAACTTGCTCTTTTAACCTTCAAACCATAACACAGCAGTGGGTGCCTTGCTGGCAGCAGCAGTCATTGGGAGATCGTTAAATACCCTGACGGAATCATAGACAGGAAAGCAGCCCTACAAACTACAAAATGAATTTACTTTTTAATTTCATATATTTTTAAATTTGTCCTCACTCACACATTAAACATAATTAGTAGACTTGCAACGAAAATGCAGCTATTGTTCCGTATTCGGCCTATTCGTCTACTTTTATCCTATTCGGTCGAATACCGAATATTTAGGTACTATTCAGCCGAATATAGAATATTTATAGTCAGATGTTTTGTTGTAGTCAGATAATTGGTAAAATGAAAACAAACTATAATTGATTTATTTTATAAAAATTGTATTTTTCTTGTAATCATTAAAGTATTCGTACGTATATAATAAACTTCGGTATTATAAAAATTAACAAAAAAACGTTTAAATAAATGTCTATGCACTTGAATTATAGTAATTTAATTACTACTATTTAGAAATGGAAGATTATGGTGCAGAAATACTAATTTATCTATATTTTCAGTTTTCTTCTCGTAAACAAAGCCAGTTTCTCTCTGAATAAGCACTACTTCCTTCTCGGTCAAATAATTTTATGTAATATTCGGCTATACGGCCAGTAAGCCCGCCGAATATTCGGTATCCGGCGTGTGACCGAATATACTATTCGTTGCAAGTCCAGTAATTACCAGACTATTGTACACAATGGTCGTTGCTCGCAGACTATTTCAAAATTTTTCTAGACATTTCTCTTAACCCCTAACTTTTACTATCTCACAGACTGGATAGAATAGTTGATTCTCTGCTGCAATCGACGTTTGAGATATTCTTCTAATTTATGAAGAGACAACGTTTCTTTTCTATTCATAGGAATTTGTGCTAAACCTTTAATACCTGTAATCATTCCTAGTGATCTTGGTTGCAGCGCCTCCATCTTCTTGTTCAATCTTTCCATGCATCTTTTTTCTATGATACGTCAAACTCCAACTATTTATAAACAAATTTTAAACAGTTTTTTTTTTAATATGAAGGATAAAAGCATACAAATATTAATACAGGATCCATCATTAGAAGAGGCGATTCACCGTAATCGCGACGCTCGGTCAGCGGTTTGACCACCATAATGACAAACGATTCACGCCTTGGCCTTGGACGCTGTTTTATCGTAATTTAATGTGGCGAGAAATAAATGACTATTTTTTTATCTTTGGTACGTATAGTAACTATTATACAGGACATTTTTCCAAAGAGTAACTAAATTCGCTTACACAATCACAAACACAATATCCCATTAGTCGCCTTTTACGACTTTCGAAGCACAGTAACACAGTTGACACATTCTTTTTTGTAATAAGTTTATTATTTTATCCTCTCAACAATCCACTTGAATTGTGCCAATCTATACACAAATAAATAAATTTGAAGTGTCTGTTTGTAATGTCAATATAACAGCTTTTTACCAAAATGCATATGTAAGTATATTATACGATACTTAAAACAATAAAAAGTATATTTATTTAAATTTATGTCTGTCTGTCCGTTTGTTCCGGCTAATCTACGAAATTGCTTGACCGATTTTGACAGGACTTTCTGCTGACGTTGTAATAGGGTAAATGCCCCTAATACCAGCCACGCCCCTAATTCCAGCCATTTCGCCTTTTTACTTCGTAAATAGGATTTCTATTAGTCTTAACTACAAATATTGTCACTTAAAAAATTCTTCGCAACTAGAGGAAAGTATATTTCAAATATTACCTCACAGTTTTAAACCTAACAGTGTTAAATTAAAAATCAAAACACGTACGCGATGAAAAACGCTCATTTTCCTAATTTCTTGACAAGTAATGATCCCGGTAAAATTATGCTTTCTTTACATTATCGCATATATAGGCTTTTGATTTGTATGAATATGACTATAGACATAGTAATGCAGTTATTTTTGTTAAAATTTACAAGTTATTTATTTTATTTTAGTGGAAATTAATGGGACTGTAATTAGATATACGAAATGTATTAGGTGCATAATGTCAGCCTCCCGGCTGTTATTTGGTTTGAGGTACCTAATAAGAAGTACCTAGTTTCAGCCACGTAATATAAATCAGGGCTGTCATAAACTGGAATAAATACTATTAATTATATTACAACTTCTTTTATAGTTAAGGGAGTTATGATCAATTCCTCTGTTTTAAAATTGGTTTTAGATTTTAAAGTTTAACAAAATATGTACTAGCTTTTCTATCTGACATTCGGTGTATATTAAGGACAGCTTATGTAGTCAATTACTTTTGAGAAAGAAGAAAAAACAAGTAATAAGTATAGTATGTACTAGCTGTTACCCGTGACTTCATCTGCGTGTAATTTAGGGTTTTATTTATGTTGCGCGGAACCCTAATTCTTTTTCTAAAATATAAGTAGCCTAAGTTACTCCGTATAACATCAGCTATCGTTCAGTGAAAGTCCTGTCGAAATCGGTCCAGCCGTTTCGGAGATTAGCCAGAACAAACAGACAGACAAAAATTTTAAAAATTGTGTTTTTGTTATAGGTACCGTATATATACTTTCAAAAAGCTGTTATTTTGACATTACAAACAGACACTTCAATTTTATTTATTTGTATAGATAAGCAAAAACTATAACTTAGTAATACTAATTACAACTTAGAAGATAAATGAAAAACTCATGACAAGTAAAGTAGTTTAGGACCAGACTTTGCGGCAGTCTATGGAGGAGGATGTTCCGTAGTGGACTTGTCTAAGGTTATAATGACGATGATGATTTGAAAACTTGGATGATTAAATTATTAGAAATCGATGTACTACATAACATTTTATCATAATTTGCTTTAATTTATTGAACTGCTTTAAACTAAAACACAGTAAGTTAAGTAGTAAAACGTTAAAATAAAATAATGTTTTCGTCTGCCTTAATAACATCCCATGCTTGTCACATGCAGATTCAAAATTAAAAGTTACCTACAATAGGTACTTACCAAAAACTCAAAAGGCACAACCCTATGCAATGCTGGCATTAAGTACACAAAAGGACGACATTCGGTACAGGGTGGCTGGCATTTGAGCCATAACGCCTTTTTTTGCTTATCGTCGTTTTTAAAATTGTTATTGAAATAATATTATTGTAAATAAATGTTCATTATATTTTTAGATAAATAACCTATCGATTAAAACAAATGTTTAAAAATATTGTGCTCTAATCAAAATAGCAGGAAATTTTAAAGTTCAAATTCGCACTAAAAGGCTGGTAATAGGGGCATCCACCCTACCCCATTTACACTCTCGCGCGAGCGGCGAGGCGAGTCGCGAGGCGAGCCACGAGGCGCGAGTGTACACGCTAGCTCGCGGCTCGCGGCTCGCCTCGCAGCTCGCCTCGCCACTCGCGGCGCGAGCGTCCCAGCCGGGTTTCTGGGCACGAGGCAAAGCGCCTCGCCAGCGACGCGAGCGTGCTGTTTACACTCGCGCTCTCGTTTCAGTTTGTTTACGACGCCCTTCCGTGCGGGTTGTGTTGTTTTGTTGGGTTTACACGTTCAACTTCAATTAAAAATGGACTGGTCGCAAGAAGAAACGCTGCAGTTCTTGGAACTCTATCAGGCTGAGCGAATAATTTGGGATCCAAAACATATTATGCATAAAAATACCCAAAAAGTAAATGATGCGTGGAATAGAAATTCCGAGGTTATGTGCAGACAGCTAGCAGAGCTCAAAGTAAAAAAGAATGCGCTTATTTCTTTCGTCAACACCTACGAAAAAAAAGCAATCTATGAAATCTTTGAAAAAAATCTATGAAATTTTTTATTTCCTTCTTTTTAAAATGGTCAAACATCGATAAATATTTATTAAGGCAAGAGTTGATGCCGCTATTATTTCGACGTCTTCCATCGTTGCTGGTTCAACGCAAACTGAACGCATCGCGAGAGTGTAAACAGGCACTCGTTACCTCGCAACAACACGCGAGCTGCGAGGCGAGGTACGAGGCGAGGCGCGAGGCGAGAGTCTAAATGGGGTATAAGGAGAAACTTAGGCTATTTTTATTTTATAAAAAGAATTAGGGTTCCGCGCAACAAAATTAAAACCCACGAAATCTAATCGTAATAAATTCCACGCGGACAAAGTTGCGGGGAAGAACTAGTACAGAATAAACGCAGTAAGTACGCACGTATAATATACAGGCTTGTTGTTTTTGTTGTACTCACTGCCGCAGCAATGGGCTGGATGTGAACGAGGCATAAGGATGTCAGTAGCCGAAGTCCGGCCTCCTGTCTACAGACAAGTTTTCTGCTACTTGCGTTCGGCAAGAGATAGCTAGTAGAGGCCATGTGTCTTACCTGTTTAGAAATGTGAGCTCACACTGGTTACACTTGTAGAGGTAGTTATCGTTTGCGTGCTTCATACGACGGTGCACTTGTAGGTAAGTCCAATGTAGATAAGAACGACCGCAGTCCTGATAATTAATAAATTATTCTCACTCAACATTGTAAAAACAAATAACAGTACACACACATACACGCAAACACGCACGCGCATGCACACGCGCTCGCGCACGTACACACACACGTACACGCACACATACACGCACACGTACACGCACACGCACACGTACACGCACACGTACAGGCACAGGTACCCACACACGCGCACGCGTACACGCACACGCACACGCACACGCACACGTACACGCACACGCACACGTACACGCACACGTACAGGCACAGGTACCCGCACACGCGCACGCGTACACGCACACGCACACGTACACGCACACGTACAGGCACAGGTACCCGCACACGCGCACGCGTACACGCACACGTACACGCACACGTACACGCACACGTACAGGCACAGGTACCCGCACACGCGCACGCGTACACGCACACGTACACGCACACGTACACGCACACGTACAGGCACAGGTACCCGCACACGCGCACGCGTACACGCACACGTACACGCACACGTACAGGCACAGGTACCCGCACATGCGCACGCGTACACGCACACGTACACGCACACGTACAGGCACAGGTACCCGCACACGCGCACGCGTACACGCACACGCACAAGTACACGCACACGCACACGTACACGCACACGTATAGGCACAGGTACCCGCACACGCGCACGCGTACACGTACACGCACACGCACACGTACACGTACACGCACACGCACACGCACACGTACAGGCACAGGTACCCGCACACGCGCACGCGTACACGCACACGCACACGTACACGCACACGCACACGCACACGCACACGTACACGCACACGTACAGGTACAGGTACCCGCACACGCGCACGCGTACACGCACACGCACACGCACACGCACACGCGCACGCGCACGCACATGCACACGCACTTTCTGTATTTTAATATTGTAGTTTCAAAAATAAATTTGTTGTCTTGTAAACAGTTTGAAATATTCATATAAAATTTACTTTAATAAGTCCACATTCCCAAATCACTAGACTCATTAAACTGATCTTCCGTCAATCTAATCACTGAAAAAAGTTTTCTATGTAAATCACCTCGCATAAAAAGTGTTTGACGACAGGAAAGCCCCCATATCCAAGGATACCAGTAGCCGACGGTCCCGCTTCCGGTCTACCGGGACACTTTGCCTGCTTCTTGCAATCGGCCAGGGAACGCTTGTAGAAGCCATGTGTCGTCTTGTGGGTAGTGCATCTGATAATGATGATGATAGTAAATATTTGTAGGTAGAGACGAAAATTTCAGCGTTCGTACCTTTTTCACCTGGATTGTAGTTTTTAACCAGCTTCAGTTCCAATTATCTAAATATCTTCAATCTCCAACTTTTTTATATGTAGATTAAGGGCGACAAACGAACGCACAGTCAACCTGATGGTAAGTGGATGCTGTGGTTCATAGACATGTACATTAATCCTCGATTAAGAATCAAAATGCAAATGTTTTGTCACCCCTAAGGATTAACGTAAGTGACTCAGATGAAAGGCACTCAAAACACAAGATCTTCATGAATAGGAAAGGGTTGGGTTATAATCGCCACGCTGGGCAGGCGGCTTGGTGAGCATAGAGCCCAGATCCTCACCCTAGTAAGGATGCGTTTCATCCCTAGTACTGACTAGGGATGAAACGCATCTGGACGCAACTGGAAAATCCAGCTTAAACCCACTGGGGTTTAAGCTGGATTTTCCATTACACGTAACCGAAACCTTGTGAATCAATGAGGGCTTCCACGACTTTTTCTGCCGCCAGGGCGGAGTCACTAGAAAGTGAGGTATAATATTTGATAGATTTCATAGCGGGGAAGTTAATTTGTTCGGGAAATGTAAAGGTTATTGTTTTTTTCTGTACTATTAGCTATATTTTATATTAATAAGATTAAAAATAAATAAACCAAACCACAGATATTTATAAAAGTAGAAAATTAAAAAAAAAAATTAAAAAAAGTTAAAAATGTGCAAATAACTAAAGAGCAAACCACTGAGGCATTGTTTTGTGTATTAATATAATACTCTAGAAACTGATAAACTTGTATTACAAACCAACTTCTCAATTAAATGACATTGTGTAATAAAAAACTTTACCTCAGTGTACTAGCGACATCTGGTGAGCAGAAAATTATTAGCCCTCATTAGAAGGGGTGCCGAACTTCCTATTAAACTCAAAAATATAAATATCAAATACACTATCAATTTAGCTTCAAGCAGAATGATCAATAGGGCTTCTTGGCTTGGCTTGGCTTCTCTTCCACCTCATTTCGTTTATTTCGTCTCAAGGATGTCGTAAGGTATGAATTGATGAATGAGAAATGCCAGTAGCTATAAAAATGCCCAAAAATCTTATAGCTTCCGCTAAATGGCGCTATAGCGATCTCGTTTACGTCAGACGTTAAATACTATGTGTATTTAATAGCGACGGGTAACTGCGACAACGGTGTGAGATGTCTGCTGCTGCAATCATCAAACATGGCCGACAACAGAATATCATGTCCAGTATTGGACTTTTAAGTACTGATGATGATGAAGAATATATGTAACGGAAATAATTCAATATTGCAATAATAAAGTGCCTGTTTTAGATTTACGAGGGCGTTTGGTGCCTGTCACATCTTAATTGCTGTCCGTCAGTCTCGCTAAAACTCAAAAACGGCTCGACCGATTTGTAATGAAATTTTTTGTGCACATTTGAATGGGTCATAGATGGATTAGATTCACATTTGTACCCGATAGGTGGCTCTGTTGTCGAGATCCATAAACCACCCATGCGAAGCCAGGGTGGGTCGCCAGTTTATAATAAAATGCCTACAATAATAATTATGTGCAGAGACAAATGCGACACTTTTAGGTATTTATATGAATTAATTAGTACAATCTCTTGGAGGAAGTGCGAAATAAAAAATCTGTTACAGTATATTTGGTTCTTTTTATTTATTAGACGCTAAACCAACAAAATAATAGCAATTTGACATTCATATCAATTGAGTCACTTTTCAAGGGCTATCTACACGCAAACTCAAGTTGAAGCGTCAGTAGCGTAATGGCAGGGCGCGGACCGCGAACTCGAAAGGTCGTGGGTTCAAATCCGCCATTCAACTACTGTCGTGAACCACTTCTAACACAAGCATTTTAAGCTTAACAGAAGTGGTTAAAGGGGAATATTAGTAATGTTTAATAGCATTACTAGTATTTTTAAAAAAAAACTCGTGTTTTTCGTGTCATTTTTAAAACAAAACATATACTTACTATAACACACATTGAAATTACAATGTACTAATTTATAATTAATGCTGTCAATAACCCAATTTGAAAGTAGTACGTTTTAAAGAGTAAAATAATAAAATGGCAAGAATTGTTCAGTATTCAAAGTGGAAGAAACTTACCGGGAATATGTGGCGAAACTGACTTTACAGATGTGACAAGTGAAGGGATTCTTCACTCCCTTGTGAATCACGCGATGACTGTTGAGCGCGTCTTCCAAATAGAACACACTGTACACACAAGAACACCAAGTATTTATTGACAATACTAAAACATTTATATAGAATCGTATTTCACCTGATGCTAAATAAATGCTATAGATGTCACACCTTGCGTTTGTTTTATCCTCGATTACGAATCGAAATGCATACGCGATGTCACCCATGAGGACTAAGATAGATTGCCTCGTTCCTAATAAAATGTTTTTTTTGCGAACGTGGTACTTACATGATCAAGGCGATTCTTTCGAATCGCAGCGTGGTTCTAGCACGAATAAAACGTTACCCTTTCATTAGGAATTTCCCCTATATCGTAGAGAAGATGTAAATCTTTGTTTTATTGTTGATTTTTTTAAAACCGGTTGACCGATTTCGATAAAATTTAAATGGGACCACCTGGAAATTATACCCTTAAAAACGAAAAAAAAATCCAAATCGGTTCAGACGTCTTCGAGTAATAAATAAAAAAAATAAAATCCCGATCCCTAAAAAAGGCGACCGCTCAGACCCGTCCAACTATAGGCCTATCGCGATCACCTCCTTGTTCTCCAAAATAATGGAATCAATTATTAACTGCCAGCTCATGCGGTACCTTGAGGATCACCAGCTGATTAGTGACCGCCAATACGGTTTTCGTCGGGGTCGATCAGCTGGTGATCTTCTGGTCTACCTGACCCATAGATGGGCGGAGGCAGTAGAGTCCAAGGGGGAGGCGTTGGCCGTTAGTTTGGACATTGCGAAGGCCTTCGATCGTGTTTGGCACAAAGCGCTTCTTTCGAAGCTCCCTTCCTATGGGCTTCCCGAGAAATTGTGCAATTGGATCACCAGCTTCCTTGCAGATCGGTGCATCACGGTCGTTGTAGACGGTGCATGCTCCGACTACAAGCCTATTAACGCTGGTGTTCCACAAGGCTGTGTTCTATCACCAACGCTGTTTCTTCTGCATATCAATGATATGTTGCTAACTGGTAACATTCATTGCTATGTGGATGACAGCACTGGTGATGCTCTATACACCGGCCGTGCCAATATTTCTCGGGAAAACGTCGCAGAGTACCGGAACAAACTTGTGTCTGAAGTCGAGTCTTTGCTGAACAGTCTCGGATTGGGGGCGACTAAATCTAGTCCAGTTTAATCCTCAGAAGAAACAAGTTTGCGCGTTTACCGCTAAAAAGAACCCCTTTGTCGTATCTCCTCAGTTTCAAGGCACTCCCCTTCTTGCCTCAGCCAGTATCGGAATCCTCGGAGTCGACATATCGAGTGACGTACAGTTTCGTTGTCACTTGGAAGAGAAGGCCAAATTGGCCTCTAAAAAGCTTGGCGTGCTCAGCAGAGCGGGACAGTATTTCATGCCGGCACACCGCCTGCAACTTTACAAGGCGCAGGTTCGGCCTCACATGGAATACTGTTCCCATCTCTGGGCAGGGGTTCCCCATTGCCAGCTCCTTCCACTTGACCCCATCCAGCGCAGAGCGGCTCGAATCGTCGACGACCGAGTCCTTTCCGATCGGCTCGATTCATTGGCACTGCGAAGAGATGTTGCATCCCTTTGCATTATCTTTCGCATCTACCACGGGGAGTGCTCTGAGGAATTGTTCGGATTAATCCCAGCCGCCAAATTTCACGAACGCACATCGCAGCAGAACTCCCGATACCATCCACACCATCTGGATGATTGGTGGTCCACCACTGTGCGATTTAGAAGATGTTTTCTTCCTCGCACGACTTCCTTGTGGAATCGATTACCATCAGCGATTTTTCCGGACCGATACGACTTAGGGACTTTCAAGAAAAGAGCGTACTCCTTTTTAAAAGGCCGGCAACGCATCTGCGATTCCCTCCCTGGTGTTGCAGCTGTTCATGGGCGGCGGTAGTCACTTACCATCAGGTGAGCCGCATGCTCGTTTGCCCCCTCTTCTATAATAACAAATAAAACAAAGATTCCGACGAATAGACAACCACCTCCGTTTTTGAAGTCCGTTAAAAAAAGAGTGTCCAGTCCTCGTTATTCATCATACGAAACAGAGAAGTAATCTAATTTTTAAGAAGAACGTAGAGTACATCTCTTTCATTTTTAACAGACTACCTATGGTGAGATAGCGGAGAATGTACCAAAAATATTGCTTTTGCAATAAATAATTTTCGATCTATCGATCTATCCTTTCCCGTACGCGCCGACCCATACGTGCTGCAGTCATCATACGGCTTTTTTATAGAATAAGGGTGACAAACGAGCACGCAGTCCACCTGATGGTAAGTGGATGCTGTGGCCCATAGACATCTACATTTATAGTCAATTAAGAATCAAAATGCAGATGCGCCGCCACCCCTGAGGACTGAGATGGAATGCCTCGTTTCCAGTAAAAAGAGTCTCCGGTTCTCTATACTCACCATACGCAACAGCAGTGTTAAGCTTTTTACGCTGGTATTCTGTGAGCGTGGTCCTACCCCGGTCGAGCCGACCCATTCGTGCTGCAACCACAATATAGATACAGCATGGCATAACACCTAAAAATGCAGTACCTCTACCGCATAGAAAGCCTTACACCACGTTGGGAAGGTAGCACTGCTTTGTAAGCGCGCATCAGTCTTACCTATATAGTTATTGCTATGGTCTGCAATAGCTACTTACCATCAAGTAATTGACGGCATAAAAGAACTCACTACTACTCTACTCCATATCGTCCCGTGGGTCTTAAGAGGCGAAAGAGGAAAATTGAACAGGAGATGGGCAGCAGCATCTTCCTGATAAAAACCCAAAATTATAAAAAACTGCAGATCTGATGTCCCACCATCATAATTAATAGAATCAGGCGTTACTTTGTGCAAGTCCATTATATTAAAGTTGTCAAAAAATTACTTCGCGTACATTCGCTCAATAAAATAAAGTGATGTGTCTTACCTAGATTGAAGAAAATTTTTTGAAGAAACTTCAAAATAGGAAAGACACATCATTTTATTTTATCGAGCGGATATACGCGAAGTAATTTTTTGACAACTTTTGTCCCCCCATCAGATAATCGGTGGGGTAGGCTTATTTTCCGAGTATGTTCAAAGTTATCATATTATTAGATTTTCTCTTAATTTTCATTAGCCGTGACAAAGCAAAGGACATTGTAAAAACTCACCTAAGAACCAACATATATTTGACAATTACCAAAATTCTTATCCTTAATTATGCATTAGATAACATTCAATAGATAGAGTAACGGACACTTCTCAATTGTGATATCAAAATAAAAAGGACTTTTTAGATTTTGAATTTTGTACCTATTTTTAATACTAATGTGATACGTTTATGGGCCCCTGTGATTTGACCAATCGCACAATACTTTCACTGACATATTTCAAAAGTTGTCATAAACTCAAATATATTATGAAAACGTTAATATTTTAAAATATACCTCAGATTAATATATGCCACAAGGAACTGGGATACAGTAAAATCATCTGTTTTCATTTAAAATAACTATACTATTGTACGCTCATTGTGCCACGCAAAAAAAAACCGTCAATAGCGTTGACAGATGACAATGTCCGGCGAGAGATTTTTGATGTGCTGTGATGAATGATTAGATTTTAAAACAAAAATCATAATTGTTATGCTCCACTTACTCCTCGCAGTACTCGCAGCGGAAGGCTTTCTCGATTTCGACGACTCTGATAACAATCCTCGCGAAGTCGGTGAGCGTTGATAACAACGCTTCGCCTTCTGGTCCACAGTCTGCTTGAGGAAACTTCGCTGTTGGATGTACAAACAAAATCAACGCTATTATTGGCTTCATTTTTACGCGTCACCTACCATTCTGGTATATCGAATAACTAGCATAGCTATGAACCGTCTCGACAAAAAAACATTGTGTGAATATGTCTTAAATCGGTCACGTAGTTCAAAAGTTACACGATCACTAACAGATAAATCAACAATTATATATATATATATATATATATATATATATATATATATATATATATATATATCATCATCATCATTACAGCCCTTCACAAGTCCACTGCTGAACATTGGCCTCCCCCAAAATGCCACAAAGCACGGTCCTGAGCCACCTGCATCCATCGACTTCCTGCATATCTTACCAGGTCGTCACTCCATCTAGTGGGGGGACGCCCTCCACTTCGCCTGCCGGTACGAGGCTGCCACTCGAGAACCTTTCTTCCCCATCGGTTGTCGGTTCTTCGAGCTATATGGCCGGCCCATTGCCACTTCAGCTTACTAATCCGTTGGGCTATGTCGGTCACTCTGGTTCTACTGCGGATATCCTCCTTTCTGAGTTTATCACGCAGAGAAACTCCGAGCATAGCCCTCTCCATAGCTCGCTGAGCGACCTTGAGCTTCCTCATCCGGCCAGCAGTGAAGGACCACGTCTCAGTTCCGTATGTCATCACTGGCAACACGCACTGGGTGTACAGTCTCGTTTTCAAGTTTTGAGGTATACCTGACGAGAAGATATGCCGTAATTTCCCGAACGCTGCCCAACCGAGTTGAATCCGTCGATTGACCTCTCGGTCGAAGTTGGACTTACCTAGTCGGACTATTTGTCCCAGGTAAACATACTCGTCAACAACTTCGAGCTTAGTGTTCCCAACAACTACCGGCATAGGTGTGACATGGACATTAAACATGATCTTTGTTTTGTCCACGTTCATCTTAAGACCTATCCGTTGGAAAAAACTATTGAGGTCATTGAGCATAGTCCTTAGGTCCTCCAGCGATTCTGCCATAAGGACTATATCGTCGGCAAATCGAAGGTGAGTGATGTACTCGCCATTGATGTTGATACCGTATTCTTTCCAGTCCAGAAGCTTGAAAACATCTTCCAATGCAGCGGTAAAGAGTTTCGGGGATATGACGTCACCCTGTCTTACACCTCTCTGCAATTGGATAGGTTTCGTACTCTGGTTCTGTACTCGTATTACCATCGTAGCTCTGCGCGCGAGACGATTCGTAATGACTCTCGAAAACAGCACGTAGACGCGGCTCAGAAGGGAAATCGGTCTGTAGTTCTTCAAGAGAGCGTTGTCGCCTTTCTTGAAGAACAAGACCACCGCACTTCTGCTCCACGCCTCCGGTGTAATGCCACCATGGAGGACGGAATTAAAGAGCTTCTGAAGGACTTCAAGTACCGGTTTTCCACCCGCTTTCAGAAGCTCCGCTGTAATTCCATCCTCGCCTGGGGCCTTGCCGTTTTTAAGGTGCTGGAGAGCCATTCTAATCTAGCTCAGACTGACGTCCGTGATATCATCGGAATAATGTCGGATAAGACTCGCTCTTGGATCGTTACTCACACTTGCGTGTGGCTCCAACGATGACGTGTACAGCTGCCCATAGAACCTCTCAATCTCACTCAAAATCTCAGGTGTCCCGGAAACGATGCTGCCACGCTCTGTCTTCAGCTTTGACAGGTGGCTCTTTCTGGCAGACAGATCTCTGGCAAAGACTTTGGAGCCTTGGTTCCGCTCGATCGCTTCTTCAATACGAGCTGTATTGAAGTTGCGTAAGTCCCGCCGCATGCATTTGGAGATCTGTCTGTTCAGTTGCCTGTATGCTGTTAAATCTGTTGAAGAATGTAGCTTCATCTCCCGTCTAACAGCCATGAGATTAAGAGTGTGATCGGAGAGTTTTTGTGTTCTTCTGCGGCGGGTCTTGCAGAACATAGCTCCGACCGCATGGACAGTTTCCACGAGCTTGTCATTCAAATCGTCCACTTCATTGCAGTCTTCTAGGCACTGAAAACGGTTTTGTAACTCGAGCTGAAAGGTTTCGGGACTTTGGATGGCACGAGGGGGACGGAGCGTTGACTTCATTAGACGAGACCTCTCCAACTTAACGTTTAGGTTTAGTGTGCCTCTAACCATTCGGTGATCGCTGCCGGTTTTCACCCTCGCGATCACTGAGACATCATTGAACAGTTGTCGTCTGGTCGTCATAATGAATTCAATCTCGTTTTTTGTCGAACCGTCGGGGCTCGACCAGGTACACTTCCTGTGGGGCCACTTCTGGAAGAAAGAGTTCATCATAAAGAGTCCCTCTTTCTCCATGAAGTCGCCCAGCTGCTGGCCCCTTGGGTTCCGTTGCCCTATTCCAAATTTCCCCACTTTCAGCTCACCGTTCTCTCTTGTGCCTAGTTTTGCAATGAAGTCTCCCATTAACACCGTATATTGGGTTTTGGAGGAATGCATGGCTCTAGAGATATCCTCATACATTTCCTCCACCTCCTCATCGGGGTGTGCCGAGGTTGGTGCGTAAACCTGTATGACCTTCAGCGAATACCGTTTGGTGATTCTGAGTGTTGCGTGTGAGTTTGGCGTGTTGCCAGTGATGACATACGGAACTGAGACGTGGTCCTTCACTGCTGGCCATATGAGGAAGCTCAAGGTCGCTCACCGAGCTATGGAGAGGGCTATGCTCGGAGTTTCTCTGCGTGATAAACTCAGAAATGAGGATATCCGCAGTAGAACCAGAGTGACCGACATAGCCCAACGGATTAGTAAGCTGAAGTGGCAATGGGCCGGCCGTATAGCTCGAAGAACCGACAACCGATGGGGAAAAAAGGTTCTCGAGTGGCAGCCTCGTACCGGCAGGCGAAGTGTTGGGCGTCCCCCCACTAGATAGAGTGACGACCTGGTAAGATATGCAGGAAGTCGATGGATGCAGGTGGCTCAGGACCGTGCTTTGTGGCATTCCTTGGGTGAGGCCTATGTTCAGCAGTGGACTTGTGAATGGCTGTAATGATGATGATGATGACACAAAAACAACAATAGTTTTATTAAAAATAGAGATGTACATTCTGTAAATACTAGGAACAAGCACAAGTTAGTTATACCAGTTACTCGAAAGAGTCAGTAACTCCTTCATGGGGTTCGATTTTACAGGAAGTTAAGTTCCAGGAAATATGCAGACCTTTTCTATTAAAAGGTTTAAATTATTTGTTAAGCAAAATTGTTTAGTAAGGGTTATTATACTACTAAAGAGTACATGACTGATAATAACCCCTGGGAATGAGGTGATCGCTACCATGCTGTTTCTAAATGTTTTCATAACGATGTATAAAATGTTATTTAGTAAATTGTGCTTTTTAAAAAAAGTCCCACTGGGTTTTTTGCTGGTTCTTGGTGGTTTCTGTCCCAGGACAGAGGTTTTTTTTTAACCAGCGGTAAAAGTAAAAAATGACTTTCAATAAGTATTATCTATTGTAATCTATATTGAATAAAAATGATTCTATTCTATTCTATTCTAAAAACGTCTCTTCTTCTTATTTACCAGCCCATGACAGTTAATTGCAAATTGGAAATGGATTTTTTTTATAGAGGAAACGATGACAAATGAGTACACAGTCCACCTTTTTTTATAGAATAAGGGTGACAAACGAGCACACAGTCCACCTGATGGTAAGTGGTTGCTGTGGCCCATAGATATCTACATTTATCCTCATTCGCGTATCAAAATGCAGATGCGTTTTCAGCCGTGAGGACTAAGATGGAATGCCTCTTTTTCAGTAAAACGGGCAAACGAAGATAGATATAGATGTCAAGGGGCACAGCAACCATTTACCATCAGCTAGACTGGTGCTCGTTTGTCACCCTTATTCTATAAAAAAAAATTGCCGTCGATCCCTATCATTGGTCTTAGTTTTGCACATCTAGCATATACGAGATGGAATGCCTGTCTATCGTAAGTTATGAGGTCTATATGACCTCAATAATGGAATTCTCTCGCGGCGTCACCGCACTGCGTATAACCAAAATAGCTAAAACAATTAATTGGAGTAAGCTATACATTAGACAGTACATAGTAAAATAATTATAAGTGACTGCCATGATTGTCTAGTGGTCGTTAGTGCGACTGGTGATCATTATGTCCCAGTTTCGAATCCCGGGTCAGGCAAAAAAGTCAGTTATTTTTAGGTGTTTCTATCGATAAATTCTCAGGAACAGCCCGGGTTGAATTGGTGACACTATAGTATATTATTTATTATACGCTATCGCCCTTCAATTGCCGTCTTATTGGACTTCAAGAGTGGCACACTACAGAACAGAGTGGATTTTCGCTTGCGCACACACATGTGCATTGTAATCCTGTCCTGCGTAGATCACTACTTTCTGTTTAGACTAGCAGCTGTAACCGAAATTAGGTGTAAAGGACATTACTATAACAGCAACAAAGTAAATTTAGCATACTTGTTTCTAAACACTCATCTCTCAAAAAGAACTGAATCGTATATTGTTCATTACTAGTGAACGTTGTGTGGTCGTTTTGACAAGACAGTCATAAACCCTTAACAAAATAAACGTACCGAAAACTGCCACAGTATGTGTCACTAGACCACTGGTCGGCGACAGCTGGATAGTGGCTTCATTTTCTTCCTTAACAGCTGGACTCAACTGCTCCACGCACTCTTTCGATTTGGCTGCATGCTCCTGCAAGTATTTATGTAATCAATTATAGAATCTTATATAGCATGACGAATGATGAACAATTTGTACATTAATTTGTGTTTTACCCCACTGTCTCAGAACGAGGGTAATGTTTTCATTTGTTCGATAGATATAATATATTTCTTTCCAAAAAATAAATATATCGGTCTGTTTCAAATTATCATTATTCTTTGCGAGTATATTAATATTTAGCGTTACGGAGTACTAGCGTCAAAGGTGTAAGTATAAGATATAAGAAGGCGCTTGCACACTGCTGCATTAGGTCACCTTAGCCACGTGCGTGTCCCTAAATGTGCGTGCACACTGCTGCATTAGGTCACCTTAACCTCGTGAGTGTCCCTAAAATGTGCGTGCACACTGCTGAATCAGCTCACTTTAGCATCGTGCGTGTCCCTAAATGTGCATGCCCACTGCTGCATTAGATCACCTTAGCGTCGTGCGTAGCACAAAATGAGCGTGCCCACTGCTGAATTAGGTCACCTTTACGTCGTGCGTGTCCCTAAATGTGCATGCACACTGCTGCATTAGCTCACCTTAGCGTCGTGCGTGTCCCTAAATGTGCATGCCCACTGCTGCATTAGATCACCTTAGCGTCGTGCGTAGCACAAAATGAGTGTGCACACTGCTGCATTAGCTCACCTTAGTGTCGTGCGTGTCCCTAAATGTGCGCGCACACTGCTGCATTAGCTCACCTTAGCGCCATGCGTGTCCCTAAATGTGCGTGCACACTGCTGCATTAGGTCACCTTAGCGTCTTGCGTGTTCCTAAATGTGCATGCCCACTGCTGCATTAAGTCACCTTAGCGTCGTGCGTATCCCTAAATGAGCGTGCCCACCGCTGAATTAGGTCACCTTAGCGTCGTGCGTGTCCCTTGAATGTGCGTGCACACTGCTGAATTAGCTCACCTTAGCGTCGTGCGTGTCCCTAAATGTGCGTGCACACTGCTGCATTAGCTCAACGTAGCGTCGTGCCTGTCCCTAAATGTGCGTGCACACTGCTGCATTAGCTCACCTTAGCGTCGTGCGTGTCCCTAAATGTGCGTGCACACTGCTGCATTAGGTCACCTTAGCGTCGTGCGTATCCCTAAATGAGCGTGCCCACTGCTGCATTAGCTCACCTTAGCGTCGTGCGTGTCCCTAAATGTGCGTGCACACTGCTGCATTAGCTCACCTTAGCGTCGTGCGTATCCCTAAATGAGCGTGCCCACTGCTGAATTAGCTCACCTTAGCGTCGTGCGTGTCCCTAAATGTGCGTGCACACTGCTGCATTAGCTCAACTTAGCGTCGTGCGTGTCCCTAAATGTGCGTGCACACTGTTGCATTAACTCACCTTAGCGTCGTGCGTGTCCCTAAATATGCGTGCCCACTGCTGCATTAGCTCACCTTAGCGTCTTGCGTGTCCCTAAATGTGCGTGCACACTGCTGCATTAGGTCACCTTAGCGTCTTGCGTGTTCCTCAATGTGCGTGCACACTGCTACATTAAGTCACTTTAGCGTCGTGCGTGTCCCTAAATGTGCGTGCCCATTGCTGCATTAGCTCACCTTAGCGTCGTGCGTGTCCCTAAATGTGCGTGCACACTGCTGCATTAGCTCAACTTAGCGTCGTGCGTGTCCCTAAATGTGCGTGCACACTGTTGCATTAACTCACCTTAGCGTCGTGCGTGTCCCTAAATATGCGTGCCCACTGCTGCATTAGCTCACCTTAGCGTCTTGCGTGTCCCTAAATGTGCGTGCACACTGCTGCATTAGGTCACCTTAGCGTCTTGCGTGTTCCTCAATGTGCGTGCACACTGCTACATTAAGTCACTTTAGCGTCGTGCGTGTCCCTAAATGTGCGTGCCCATTGCTGCATTAGCTCACCTTAGTGTCGTGCGTGTCCCTAAATGAGCGTGCCCACTGCTGCATTAGGTCACCTTAACGTCGTGCGTGTCCCTAAAGGCGTGTGCACGCTGCTATTGCGGGAGCTCACTTCGGCGTCGGGCGTGTCCCTAAAAGCACCTGCACACTGCTGTTGCGGTAACTCACCTCAGTGTCAGGCATGTCCCTAAAGGCGCGTGCACACTGCTGTTGCGGGAGCTCACCTCGGAATCAGGCGTGTTTCTAAAAGTACATGCACACTGATATGGGAGATCACCTCAGCGTCGTACGTGTCTCTAGAGGCGCGTGCACACTGCTGTTGAGGAAACTCACCTCGGCGTCGTGCGTGTCCCTAAAGGCGCGTGCACACACCGCACACACCAGCACCAGACTGGGCGACAGTTCCTCTTCGTGAGCGCGCATGTGCATTCGTAGTCTCGACCTTCGTGTAAGTTGCTTCAGGCAGATGTGGCACTGGAATGGCTTTATCTGTAAAATGATAACTTAATCCTAGGATGTGTGAAGAATATTACGTAGTAGCTACAGGAAGGGCCGTCTAACGTTTGGAATTGGAACTATAGGTCATTTTGTGGTTGGAAGGTTTGATGACATTTCCGATATGACAGAAAGTTAGTTTTATGTTTGACATTTATGAAATGGGTCGCTTTTTGGTTGCACAAAGTTGGGGAAATATTAAAAACTTATTTCCAAAGTGGTGAGTCTTCTACTGAAACTGTAAGAATATTACGAAAAAAATTTTTCAAGAATGATGTGCCAAAAACGCAGTATGTGGTTCGATTTGTGAAACGAGTTCGTGAAACTGGATCGTTGTTGGATAAAACAACCTGCTTACGTAGTCGTCCAGTGCGCTCAAGCGAAAACATCACTGCTGTTGCTCAGTGTACATGAACAACCATCAACATCAACTTCTTTGAGAAGAATTTTGCATTAAGATCTCGGTATAAATGCGTACAAAGGTATAGTGCTAAAGCCGCATGACCATCCGATGTGTTTTTGGTTTGCTCAATGGACCGAACTCCGCTTGATCGAAGATAAAAAAAATTACCGCAAAATCATCTTTTCAGATGAAGTTCATTTTCACCTCGGAGAATACGCCAATAAGCAAAATTGTCGCATCTGGGGCTCAGAAAATTCACACGTCATCGTGGAGAAACCAATGCATCCACAACGAGTGACTGTCTGGTGCGGATTTTAGTCAGGCGACATTTTTCTTCGAAAATGAGCAAGGAAACGCCGTTACAGTGAATGGCCTGCCTACCGCGAGATGCTAAGCGAATTTTTGTTTCCCGAAATTGAAAAGGATGACATACACAAAATTTGGTTTCAACAGGATGTCGCAACGTGCCACACAGCCAACGTAACAATAGACTTTTTGTGAAAAAAATATTTATTAGTTTTTTTTTTCATTGGCCCACCCCTTATAAAAAATCGTTGCTACTGATTCTTTGTTGATTTTTTTATTATTCCTTTACGCTTCCCAACACTATTGCGAGGAAGAGGAACTACTATCATCACTCCTTTTTGACTAACATAATTTTGTTTTCGTCGTTTTTAAATAATCAATCTATTTTAAACAAATAAAGAGAGTGCAGATGAGTGCACTTTCATGAAATGGGACAAAATAATGTTTGGTTATTTTTTTTAATTTTCAACATTAGGGATAATGATAATCAAAAATACATGTTAGTTGAAATGCTGACATGTATTTTCCTGTATTACTATTAACAATTTTGCAGGTGCATCATAACGCCCGTCATGTGTAACCGTAGCCTGTAAGCCTTAAATTGCACTAGCCTTCTATACTCCAAACAAATACAGTATGATTTCTGACCTATTGGCTGAGTGGGTCAATAATAGCCGTTATTGCTTAAGTCAATAAAGTATAAACATTTTTAAAGTTTCGGAAATACTAATTTGTATGTTTAGGTGGGATGTTTTTTTATTAATATCTCTAAAACATAATACATTTTTCGTAAAACTGACTTGCAGATGCGTGACGCCGTGCTCGTCGAGCGTCTGCTTGTCGAGGAAGCGCTTGCCGCACGTGACGCACACGTAGCGCCGCGTGTCCGTGTGCGTGCGGCTGTGCTTCGTCAGCGTTGCCCTTTACCAAAAATTTACATTCACTTTTAAAACTATCGCGACCATTTTATCCACCAACAAATAAAAGCTATAAAGTGTTCCAGTGTCTCAGTCACTCCGGCGAGGTTCATTAAATAGGCTTTCTACACTTTCTAAAAGACCCCTTAAAGATCAAGCAAGGTTGGCCACATGCTTTAGTATCCCAACAGAGAAAAGATACAGTGGTCTATTTACAAGATACATAATTTGGTTAATGAAGCATATACTTGCTAGAATTGTTTTGTGAATTTCAATGAAGGTTGAAGAAAAATGCAGTTGCAAATGCATTTTTCTTCAAGCAAGCTTTCTATACGGAATGAGATGGAATGCTTTGTCTTTGATCTTTGGTTCACGTCATCACTGAATCTACTGATAATTACTATTTTTTTAATTTTAATTATAATATACTTGAAATCTGGGTTACCTCAAAAAGAACGTCTTTCCGCAGTCTTTAACAGGGCATTGCCAGCGATTTTGCTTGTGATGCTGGAAGTGGACGTGGTCAAAAAGCTCGCTCTCCGTTGGGAAGTGGGCGCCTTCACATTCTGGACAAACGTACTGCCCCTCAGACGTGAGGAGTTTTGTGGTGTCGTGAAATTGCCTAAAGAACGTTATTTACTAGTCAATTAATTAATTTGAGAATTTCATTGGTGATTATATGCTATGTATCATCCTAGTCTTCAGAGGTGACCACACACCTGAAGAGTTTTTTCTTTAAAGTTGGCTGCAGATGACCAAGGACTGCACTAGCCTCTCACCATCCTATAGATGTAAGTACGTTTGTCACTCAGTTTTATATAAAAAAAATAGTAGACAGCACACTCTAAAACTCGACGGCTTGGTCAAAAGTTTAGCTAAGCATTTGGTTGCAGCGCTGTGGATTCGCATCTGTCTACTAACACATATTTGTATGGTTTACTAATAATTGTTCCTAGTCTGGATGTTTGTTCATATCTAATTTTTTTATAGAAATAGGGTGACAAGCAAGCACACAGTCCACCTGATGGTAAATGGTTGCTGTGGCCCATAGACATCTACATTTATCCTCGTTTGCGAGTCAAAATGCAGATGCGTTGTCAGCCTTGAAGACTAGGATGGAATGCCTCTTTTCCAGTAAAAAAGGGTCTCCGATTCTCTACACTCACCATACGAAACACAGCAGCATTAAGCTGCTATTTTACGCTGGTATTCTGTGAGAGCGTGGTCCTTCTCCGGTTAAGCCGACCCATTCGTGCACAACTATATTATAAATATAGCTGCAGCTTGGCTTGCCACGTATATAAAACCACTTAATGTATGTAAAATGCCTCCTGATACGAGAGATATTCGTAGTAGTGGTTCTAACGTTCTTTTTTGCATAGCAATTCCTGGAGTAGCACTTGAAAATAGGTTGACTACTTGTCGCTAAAGTATATTCTTTTCTTTACTATATGAAATCGTCCTTGTACATAGTTATAGAAATAATTTATTTTACTACCTGTTTCAATTTCAAAGTAAAATTATATCACCGTGTTGTAGCAAATTGGAACAGTATACGACAGAATTATCTATCTGTTTTCTAAATTGAAAGAACAATGGCAGACTTTCATACATAAAATTAGTTGAGAAGGAATGGTAGCGTCTATATATCAAAAATATCTTAAAATGTTAAGCGTCAGTCCCTCTCAACTCTGTCAAAGAATTTTGTCCTGAGAAGGCGTCAAAAAAAAAAGATATTTAGATTTGATTCTTTTTAGATTATGTCTTATGTCACTCGGAAAAAGTCATACTTCCTGTGGTTTTTTGATGTTAGCTTAATACATAATACATAATTGAGAGTTTTAAGATTATTGTATCTCTATTATATATTTGCATACTATAAATGTATATTTCTGGCATGGCTCCAGGGCCTTTGTTTCAAAGCGACATTCTAAGAAGCGCTAGAACCCAGAGCCGTAAAGCCAGTAAAAAAAAACAGTGACATTTTGTTTTAGCTAGTGTTGCCATAACATTAAATGGAATTGTTACATAGTACTATGATTGAGATAATGTATCATTGTAGGAACTTATTTGTAAGAGACTTATTCTCAAGCATATCACTTTTATTTTTACTATTACTGATAGTATAGTTATTATTAATAATAACTTAATATAAAAATATTTTGTGTGTTGTGTTGGTAGTCTTACAAAGTGTATACGAAAATAGTATGAATACACTAAATGGCAACATTTGAATAGAGTAAAATGATTTAAGGCATTTGATATTCCCAAAAAAGTTTGTTTTTTTGTGTGGCTTTAATTAAAATACATTTTTATTTGAAAAATCATAGAAAAATAATAAAACTCATTTTATATATAACTTATCTCTAGACGCGATAATTTTTGTCAACTATTTTTCTTTTAACTTTACTCTTCATAGTGTTGAGAAACATTACATTTTCATTTTATTTTTATGTATGCTAAATTACCTTTTTAAATAAACATGTAAATGTTCGTTTGCTAAAAATCTATCTCCAAAGTTTTATACCATTTGCTGTAAAGATTTAATATTAAACTTTGTGAAAAAAGCGCCATCTGTTGTACGTAAAATAAACATATATTTTCTTTTTATTTAATTTAACCCTCTCCGAAATAAGAGAACTGTGCCCACAGTGGGAAATATATATATAATTTTATTTTATTTTATTTTTTATAGGATCGGGTGACAAACGAGCACACAGTCCACCTGATGGTAAGTGGTTACTGTGACCCATAGACATCTACATCTATCCTCAATAAAGACTCAAGATGCAAATGCGGTGTCACCCGTGAGGACTAAGATGGAATGCCTCTTTGCCAGTAAAAAGGGTATCTGGTTCTCTACACTCACCATACGAAACACAGCAGCGTTAAGCTGCTATTTTACGCTGGTTTTCTGTGAGAGCGTGGTCCTTCCCCGGTCGAGCCGACCCATTCGTGCTACAACCATAATATAGCTGCAGCATGGCTCTACCATGTAGAAAATATATATATATCCTTTTTTTTTTAATCAGACTGTGCCACAGCAACGCACAGTTACAGCTGGTATTATATAAAATAGTTAAGTCATTAACATATTTTAAACACCATTTATGGTAAACACCATTTAAGATATTTAATTAATAGATATAATTTACTAAAGTATATTTGATTTTTTAAAGTTTTCATATACCTACATGTGAAATTTTAGTCTAACTTTAGACGTGAACGACTCGTTGCAGTTGTGGCAGGTGACGAATTGCGGGTCGGAGGTCGGTCCGCGATTCCTCTTCTTGCGGGGCCTCTGTAACATGTGACAATCACAAATATTTAATATAAATCAATACATCAATATCAGACCGTAAGAAGTCCTCCTGGATGAGATTCTCTTCCGTTGTGACGAGAATTTTGCCTTAATCACACCTCTCACTGCCTCCCGTCGCCGTTCAGGTTATTTTACGACTGCGCAAACGAGACGAAACAGAAACAGAAACGTTTTTATTTTTTTTTTATTTTAATTACCACTGGTTCGAAAAAATACCTCCTGGGAAGAACTAGCAAGAAACCCAACGGGACTTATTTTTTAAATAACAGCTTACAACCATGTATGTTACACAATTAGCTTGGTAGCTATCACCTTCTTTCCTGGGGTTATTATTTATTTATTTATTTAAACTTTATTGAATCTTACACATTAAATTAGTAAATAATTAGTAAAGGAACAAAAGGCGGACTTAATACTAAAAGCATTCTCTGCCAGTCAACCTTAAGGCAGTGATATAAGTACGAAGGCGGTTGCAAAGAAATATACATACACACATACATATACATATTACACATACATTTACATATATACATACATATACACACACACATACATATATCAATATACACAAGTATATAAATTTATATATTATAAGAAAATATAATGTAATACAAGATACATAAAGATACGTAATATACTAATGATGACGGAATTTAGCAGTTGTAAAGCAGTTTTAGAAAATGATCTCGAATGTTCTTCTTAAATGTTTGTTTGCAGGTAGGTTGTCTTAATTTTTCAGGCAGGTTATTCCATAGGCGTGCGGCATGGACAGCTAACGATGAAGATATGAAACTCGAACGGTGAAGGGGAATAGAGAGAGCAAGAGTCTCCGATGAACGAAGCTGTCTGTCATGAGTGTCCCGCAGAAACTGAAACTTATGTTTTAGATAATTTGGATAGTGGTTATCGAATAAAATAGAAAAAACTGTGTTAAGTATCCTAATGTGTCTTCGCTGACGAATTGGAAGCCATTTAAGCAGAGTGCGAAATGAGGATACATCATCAAACTTGCGAAGACGAAAAATAAAACGGATACAGTTATTGACGAGACGATCCAGCTTATCAAGATAAACCTCATTAAGATCAGGAAAACATACATCAGCATAGTTAATAATAGCAGCATAGTCATACCTTGACCGGAAGAAAGTTCCGAAGACAGTTCAAAGCACTGAGCTTAGCAAAAACAGAACCGCTAATATTCTGAATTTGGGTGGACCAACTTAAGGTTGAGTCAAAGTAGATACCCAGATTTTTAACGCTGTCAGAATAAGGTATGATAGAACTATCAAACGTGACAGGTTATCATGCATGATCATAATGATCATACCGCCGTCTATCAGTGGCCATGAGATCACCATAATCACGCACATTATAGAGTAGTTTATTTATAGACTTTATAGACATTATAATATAGTGTTATTAATAAATCGTATATTAACACTGAAAAATTCGGAGAGAACTCGTCTCACCACCTACTGGAAAGGGCAGAACAATGTCTGGTGGGTAGTTGTGTAATTGTACCGTAAAACGATAAAATAAAAACAATGAAATCGCCAGAATTGTTTTTATTTTATGGATGTAGTAAATGGATGCTGTGACCCATAGATCCATCCTCGATTAAGAATCAAAATGCAAATGCGCTGTCACCCCTGAGGACTAAGATGGAATGCCTCGTTGCCAGTAAAATGGGGTCTCCGGTTCTCTGCACTCACCATACGAAACACTACTGTGTTAAAAATCAGTGTAAAAACAATATTTTACCTTTTTTAAAAAAAACTAACGAAAAAAACAAGCGCCCAACCGCAGACTATTTATTTTACAGCATAGAAACACTTGTTCAGTGCGGGAATTAAGCTGCTATTTTACGCTGGTATTATGTGAGAGCGTTGTCCATCTCCGGTCGAGCCAACCCATTCGTGCTACGTTTATAATATAGTTCCAGAGTGGCTATACCACGTCCAGAAATTCTATAAACATAGAATAGAATAGAATTTATTTTTATTCAATATAGATTATAGTACATAATACTTATAGAAAGTCATTTTTTACTTTTACCACTGGTTCGCAAAAAAAACCTCTATCCTGGGAAGAACCAGCAAGAAACCCAGCGGGACTTTTTTTAAAAGCACAATTTACAATATAATATTTTATACAATTGTTATTAAAACATTTAGAAACAGCATGGTAGCGATCACCTCATTCCCAGGGGTTATTATCAGTCGTGCAATCTTTAGTAGTATAATAACCCTCACTAGACAATTTTTGCTTAATAAATAATTTAAATCTTTTGATAGAAAATGTCTGCATATTTTCTGAGACTTTGATACAAATTAAACTTCAAATAATCCAAGTAAATACATATGTAATACAATAGCGACTCGATTCGCTTCGTCTGAATAGGATCTATAATCTATAACGTAAGAATTCAGATAATCAACGGTTATTTTTAAAATAATGTATCTATGTCAAAGGTTATTTGATTATCTTAAATTTTAAATAACATTCAAGTATGGGGGTGTTATAAACTAATTTGCTTATTTCCGCGTAAAGAAAGAAAATGATGTGTTCTGCCCAGTTTTAAGGGGACCTCACCCTCCCTCAATCGCGCGCATTATACCCGTCGCCGTTAATCCCAGCACTACCACGCCCAGCACCAGCACCAGCACACTAGGCACGACACACCACTCTCGAAACAACGACACGTGTTTCGCCTCTACACGAGGCATCCTCAGGTGAAGTAGACTCTGCGGAGGCTGGCCGTTAAGTACTTAGGCTGGTCACTTTACTTGGTGCTGGGCGTGGTAGTGCTGGGATTAACGGCGTCGGGTATAGTGCGCGCGATTGAGGGAGGGTGGGAGGAAAATTTCAAGAATGGTTGTTTGTGTGTTAATAATACTATGCAAATAACCTAGTGAGCTTAAAATAGAAACTAGCTATTACAATATTACAAACAGACGTATACGTGGTAGAGCCATGTTGCAGCTATATTGGTAGTATAGTTGTAGCACAAATGGGTCGGCTCGACCGGGGAAGGACCACGCTCTCACAGAATACCAGCGTCAAATAGCAGCTTAACACTGCTGTGTTTCGTATGGTGTGTGTAGAAAACCGGAGACCCTTTTTACTAGAAAAGAGGCATTCCATCCTAGTCCTTAAGGCTGACAACGTATCTGCATTTTGACTCGCAAACGAGGATAAATGTAGATGTCTATGGGCCACAGCAACCACTTAACATCAGGTGGACTGTATGCTCGTTTGTCACCCTATCCTATAAAAAAAGACACTTGAATTTTATTTATATGTGTTTTTATTTATTCACAAATTGCGTTACATGTGACTTAGAGACTAAACAAAACATGCAAGTTCTAACAATCACATGCACCTCGAAAGGCATAGCAATGAACAGGAGAGGGGCAGACACTTAAAAATTATTTTCCTCCATGTATTCATTAATTGAATAATAACTTTTTTTAATGAGTATAGCTTTTAAAAATCTAATGAATTTATTAATATTTGTTTCGGCTTTTATGTATTCCGGCAATTTATTATAAATTTTTATTGACATCGGGTAAGGACCTGTACTGTGTAATTTTAATTTAGATTTTGGTTGCAAAAGGTTATTCTTATAGCGAGGTACGTTGTGTCGGGGCGCGTCTATGATTTTGATGTAAAAACTTGGGTGTCTTTTTACAAATTTACATATTTCTAATATACCAGGTGGCCCATAAGTCGTTAGAAATGTAAATTTCGAATAAAATACAAAAGGCGCGCATGAGTGGCGCGCGCGGTACGGGGGGAGTACCGACGGTTTCTGGGAATTCAGTCGCCATGGAGCGTTTCACCGGTGCGGACCGTGCATTTTGTGTGCGCGAGTTTTATCGAAACAATGATTCGGCTACAATTGCGCGGCGTAAATTTCGAGAATATCAGAATTTACGCAACTTTAAAGACATTCCAAGTGTTCAAACTTATATTATGTTCAAATATATATTAAGAACTGGGTTATTAAGTTCGAAGAGAGTGGTTCGACGTTGGATAAACAACGGTCAGGTCGACCAAGGACATCACGGACGGAAGAAAACATCGATGTAGTGAAACACTCAATTCGTGAAAATCCTACCCAGTCTACTCGTAAGCGTTCCAGTGCATTAAACTTACCCAGAACATCGTTACAGCGAATTTTAAAGAAAGATTTACATCTTCACCCGTACAAGATTCAGTTAGTACAGGAATTAAAAGATACTGACACTATCCACAGACTAAATTTCGCAAATGAAATGTTGAACCGCTTTACTTCGTTTAATAACGTGTTATTCTCTGATGAGGCTCACTTTCACATCAACGGCCATGTCAATAAGCAAAATTGTCGCTACTGGAGTTGCGAAAATCCAAATCGCAAACATCAAAAGCCCTTACATAGCCCTAAAGTGACAGTTTGGGCGGCTATGTCAGCGCATGGCATTATAGGCCCTTACTTTTTTGAGGACGGCAGAGGCCGCGCGCTTACTGTTACTTCACAACGGTATGTAGCTATGATCCAGGACTTTTTTACACCAGAGTTGCAGAATTTTCCAGGCTTCAATACGCGGACCTGGTTTCAACAAGATGGAGCAACTGCCCATACCTCTAACGTCGCTATGCCGGTCGTCCGTCAACTTTTCCCTAATAAAGTGATCTCTCGAAGAGGAGATATTCCTTGGCCACCACGTAGTCCAGATCTGACCCCAATGGACTTTTTCTTATGGGGTTATCTTAAGACTAAAGTGTACGAAACCAACCCGCGGACAATTGACGTCCTGAAAGAAAATATCCAAAGAGAAATGGCAAACATTACAGAGCTTACTTGCCACGCAGTGATGGATAATTTTAAACGTCGCTTACAGGAGTGCCGCGATCGTAACGGATTACATTTAGATGATGTAATTTTCAAAAAATAATTCCCATTTTATAAGGATTATGACAAAATAAAAACCTTTTTCATAATGTCATTAGTTTTTTTTTAATTATTTTTTTACATTTCAAGGGACTTATGGGCCAACCTGTATATAGGCACGGTAATGTTAGAATTTTGAGACTTTGAAAGTGAGGTTTGCAGCTTTCTCTTTGTTTGATATTTGCAAGTACGCGTATACATTTTTTTTTTGTAAAATAAAAATATAGTGTATAGTGTATAGATTCACACTTACCACTACCAGTAAATCGTTATCAACAGCTTGCTGCTTCTGTCTAGGTCTTCCTTGTGCTCTCTGTAAAAGATTATTGGGTAAAATAAGATACAATTATAGTAATATTTTTTTAATGTTTTTAATTAACGCCTACAACTTGAAGCAGCCAAACTCAGTTTAAAACAAAGGTGATGCGTAATGTCGCCAGTAGTTGTTGGGAGCACTACGCTCGAAGTTGTCGACGAGTATATTTACCTAGGACAGATAGTCTAATTGGGTAAGTCCGACTTCGACCGAGAAGTCAATCTACGGATTCAATTCGGCTAGGCAGCGTTCAAGAGATTACGACACATCTTCTCGTCAGGTATACCTACCTCAAAACTTGAAAACATAACAATACAACCAGTGCGTGTTGCCAGTGATGACTTATGGGTCTAAGACGTGGTCTTTCACTGCCGACCTTATGAGGAAGCTCAAAGTCGCTCAGCGAGCTATGGAGAGGGCTATGCTCGGGGTTTCTCTGCGTGATAGACTTAAAAATGAGGATATCCGTAATAGAATCACAGTAACCGACATAGCTCAACAGATAACTAAGCTGAAGTGGCAATGGGCCGGCCATATGAGCGTCGTAGGACGGCACCCCACTAGATGGAGTGACGACCTGGTAAGACATGCAGGAAGTCGATGGATGCAGGTGACTCAGGACCGTGCTTTGTGGTATTCCTTGGAAAGGCTTATATTCAGCAGTGGACTTGTGACTGTAATGATGATAATGATGACCAGTTCTAAGGAGCTTTATTTTATCTCCCTTGTCCTGTTCTAAACAGGTACTTTAATATTTTATAAAGACACAAGAGAATTTCAACTTAAAGTGTATTATTACCCTGTAAAAATCTTCTTCAGATGGTACACGTATGCCAGAATCGTCCTTGGTCGTGTCTTTCCGCTTCCTGCCACGTCGGCGGCACTTGTGACTGGTCAAGCTTTCGGAGGTAGAAAATATTCGGCTGAAACATAATACTTCCTATATAACTGTAATTAATTAACTCAATGACAATAAATCGACCCGTAAGGTAGATTTGGAACCAAGTCTTGACATGTTTTTTTTTGTTTGCCCATATTTTTTCTTACGGCATCCACGGGGCATGAAACGAAACTCATATTATATGAGAAATTAAACTTTAAAAAAAAGAAAAGTCGACATCAAAGAATTAAAAAGAAATCAAACTCAAAACCCTACCACAAAATCGATGGACGTGGTAAAGAATTATAAAACCATGTCGTGGAAATGTCTTATCAAATTGAAGAGTTCCATGATTTTATCCCTGAGGTTAAAAATATATTTTTTTATAGAATGGGGTAACAAACGAGCACACAGTCCTGATGGTAAATGGAGGCTATGGCCCATAGATGCGTTGTCACCCCTGATGACCACGATGGCATGCCTCATTTCCAGTAAAAAGGGTCTCCGGTTCTCTACACTTACCATACAATACATAGCATCATTAAGCTGCTATTTTGTGCTGGTATTCTGTGAGAGCGTGGTCGTTCCCAGGTCGTGCCGACCTATTCGTGCTACAACCATAATATAGCTGCAGCATGGCTATACCGCATATGAATTATGGCTGAACATACATAAAGTACTTCCACCTTATTTTGAAGTCGGTTGAAGATAAAAACAGTTTGCATCCATAGCGTTATTAACTAAATTTAAGTGATTAATACTCTAATTTTTAAAAATAAGAAAAGGTGGGGGAAAATTCGTTTATTCCTCAATGAGGTGAAAAATTCGACAGATTTCATGAAGAGAAAGTAAAATTATTAGGATAACATAAATGTAGAGCCATGCTGCAACTATATTAATATTGTTGTAGCACGAATGAGTCGGCTCAACCGGGGAAGGACCAGGCTCTCACAGAATACCAGTGTAAAACAGCAGCTTAACACTGGTGTGTTTCGTATAGTGAGCGTAGTGAACCGGAGAGCCTTTTTACTGGAAGAGAGGCATTCCATCTTGGTCCTCACGGGTGACAACACATCTGCATTTTGATTCTTTATTGAGGATAGATGTAGATGTCTATGGGTCGCAGCAACCACTTACCATCAGGTGGACTGTGTGCTCGTTTGTCATCCTATCCTATAAAAAAAAACGAGCACACAGTCCACTCAAAGATAAGTGGATGCCGAGGCCCATATACATCCTAATCTATGCTCGATTAAGAATCAAAATGAAGAATACATTGTCACCCCCTGCGAATGGAATGCCTCGTTTGCAGAGAAAAGGGTCTCTGGTTCTCTACATTTACCATACGAAACACAGCAGGATATTTCACGTTGTCATTCTGTGAGACAGTGGTCCGGTGGAGCCGACACATTCGTGCTACAACTATAATATAGCTGCAGCATGATTGTACCACGTATAAACTTGCACTTACCTGCAGTTATTACACTTGTGTTTTTTCTTTAGTGTGCTTTTTTGATCTTCATTCTTCATCTGGAAATATGCTTACAGTTTAATACAATAATAATATAGAAATTTAAGAAAGAAGTAAACAAAACGTATTAATCTTAAGCAGTGATGATCCTACTAAGAATACTAGGTCACACTCATTATTTTTGGAATTTTTTTTTTTATAGAAGGAGTATGGTATCTTGGATTTTGACGCGATGTGCGTTTGCGGCACAGGAGAACAGTATTCCTTATGAGGCCGAACTTGCCGGCATGAAATACTGTCTTGCTCTGTTGAGCACGCCAAGTTTTTAGAGGCCAATTTGGCCTTCCCTACCAAGTGACCACGAAACTGCACACTATTCGATATGTCGACGCTGAGGATTCCGATGCTAGCTAAGGCAGCAAGGGGAGTGCCTTGAAACGGAGGTGATACGACAAAGGGGTTCTTTTTAGCGGTAAACGCGCAAACTAATTTCATCAGTTTTTCGTTTTTAATATATTTACAATTTTTTTTAATGATTAATACATTTTAACCCCTTTGTTGCCAATATTTCACGCACTCGAATGAAACGGTTGCTCCGTCTTTAGTAATGCGTACGGCAAAGCAGTGGACGAATCTGCCGGCAACTCTTTTCCGTCCGAATACAATATGGGCGTCTTCAAGGCAAGAATGAATAGGCTTTTGTTACACTAATACAATAAGATATACCATTTAAGGCTTTATCACCACTTAATACCAGGTGTGATTGTGGCTAAGCACTGACTTGTAATAAGTAAAAAAAAACACCGAAAGGATGTAAAAACTGACTTTTAAAATTGATTGACATTCACACAAACATACATATCTACATACATACATATAGGTGAAGCTAATAAAAGCCTGTTAAATTTAGAGATAAATAACGTGTGTGTCTTTATCAAAGATGATTTTCTCATGGCTGATTTAGATTACAGCGACAACCTCAAAATATTATCTTGTTATATTTGTTAAGTTATTTTAGAAATATACAATGACGTCTCTACTCTATCCCCAAAATTTTTACGATAAATTTAGGGGCAGGCTTAGATACCTACGGTGTTAAAAAGGGACACTACAAACATCTAGACATGAAAATAACAAATTTTTATTTATAGGTAACTGTACTAGAGTTAAATATTATAAAACTTTTTAAGCCTATAACTGACCTCAGTCATACACACGGGCAAGCAATGAGTTGCAGACCTAAGGGCAGTGGGTTCAAAATTCAAATCCCGCACGGAACAAGTATTTGTATGGATCTGGATGTTTGTCCTTGTGAAATTTTGTCTGTAAGCTGCCTCCACGATACAGGAGAAAATCCTGTGTGTAAAGTATATTTTTAAAGAAAAAATGTATGGATACCTGTGAAGTACGTCAATTTCCTGTTCCATAAATATCTCTGAAACGGTAGTGTCTGGTGTTCAACAAAGGCACAATCGCAGGCTATTCGTTTACTTTGAACAATTCTATACTTACTGTGGCAACCTTCAACAAATTTTCCAGGGGATCAGATGTCTCATGATCAACAGTTTGCAAGATCCATATCGCCTCGTCATCGCTGCTGTCCAAACACTCTTGTTTCACTTCAGTCTTGACAGTCAGCGTAGAGTCATTCTAAATATTAATTTTTAAGACATATTTAGACACATTTTTTCTTACTATCGACTTGCCCACAGTAAGCTAAAGTGGCAATGGGCCAGTCATATAGTGAAGAACCAACTACCGATAGTGAAGGAAGGTTCTCGAGTGGCAGCCTCATACCAGTAAACGAAGGTACCGGGGTAAGCGAAGTGTAGGGTGCCCTCTTCTCCTACTAGACGTTGTGACAACCTGGTCAGATATGGAGGAAGTCATTGGAAGCAGGTGGCTCAGAATCGTGTTTTGTGGCATTGTACAGAAGTTTTGGAAGCCCTATGTTCAACAGTGGCACGTCCACATAAGGATTGTAATAATGATGATGATATTCAGTAGTATTAAGAGTAGTAGAGATCCTGTTTTGCCTAGGAATCCGTCACGATTGTAACTTCTCTTACTTACCGCCAATCAGCAGTGCACTCAATGTTATTTCGGTTTGGAACCGTACAGGGTAGTGGGTGAAAAGTGACAACATCCGTTTGAAGTTAATTGAATGTGTCCATGGGCTGCAGAAGCCATTCAACAACAGGTGGACTATTATTAATAGAATCAGGCGTTACTTTGCGGAAATCCATTATATAAAAGCTTTTAGAAAAATTATTTACTTCGCAAATATCCGCGTTATAAAATAAAATGATGTGTCTTACTTAGTATGAAGAGAACCTCCCACCCTCCCTCAATTGCGTGCACTATCCCCGTCACCACTAATCCCAGCACCGCTCCTACCAACACTACGACTCTACGGTGGCTAACCGCTAAGTGAAACCTCTCTTAGCGGTTAGCCACCGTAGAGTCTATATCACCTGAGGATGCCTCGTGTAGAGGCGAAACACGTGTCGTATTTTCGTCAGTGGTGTATCTTGCCTAGTGTAGTGGTGTTGGGAGTAGCGGTGCTGGGATTAGTGGTGAGGGGGATAGTGTACGCAATTGAGGGAGGGTGGGTGCTCTTCATACTAGGTAAGACGCATCATTTTATTTTATAACGCGGATATTTGCGAAGTAAAAAATTTTTCTAAAAGCTTTTATAGGTGGACTATTTCCTCATTAAGTTACTCTATTGTATAAAAAATATGTTGCACTTTTATGTCTTCACTTATATTAATGCGGCGGGATATTGGTAATAAATAATAACTAATACGTTCTCTCTTCATGTTATTCATGTAAACTATTAACAATTTCTATAGGATGTAGGGTTTTTTCCTTTCAATACAAACCTCTGCACATTGACACACATTATTAGCTAACGATTAAGGCAGTGTAAACCGAGAAATGGCGGTATATCAATTCTAAAACGGCGAAGCCAAATCCCACGGACTAGGGACAGGGCCATCATTTAGTCATCAGCGGATTCAACGGATCTGGAGGGATCAAGTGCAACCGGGCAACGTAACATACATACTACAAATATAGTTTACCAATTAATATGAATGGATTTCTGACTGGAGCTGGCAACGAAGAGTTCCATTTTTGTTCTCGAGGGTGACAACGCATCTGCATTTGGAAACTTTATTGAGGGCAGATGTAGATGTCTATTGGCTACAACGTCCACTTACAATCAGGTGGGCTCTGTGCTCGTTTGTGAACCTTTCACTGAGCTTTCAGTCCGTCATTTGCAAAATGATGACGGCCAATTTTCAACGTTTCGCCCCAAGCCCTTGAACATTGTCAAAGAGTTTTGGTTACTATTCTTGCCGTTTCCTAGAACTGTAATAGCGTAACACTTATCCAGGTATATTAAGAAACAGGTTAATTATTTTTCAGAACCAGATTTACCTCGACAAAGTTCGCAACTGTTTATGTGAGTACCTTAGAGAAATATTTTTTCAATGATAATTTGTAAAAAGAAATAGCTTTTACATGGTTTAATCACTAATCAGGCTCCTTAAGAGACGCATACTTGTTACTTTTCATAAACAATCTTACAGGCAATTATTGCTTAAATAGGTACACGAATTTAAAAGTAAACATAAGCAAGCTACCCACACGAAGGTTTTCAAATAATAAGACAATAACTGGGCGATAGAGCTTTCCTCGGCGCGGCGTTAGAAAAAAGAACAATGTACTTAGGGATGATACCAATTTAGATAAAATTGGAAACTTGGAAAATAAAACATTTTCTTAATACAGAATTTCGTTTTTAGGATTATTTTACATTAATAAGTCATACTTCTACTAAAGTGGATATACAATCTACATATTATTGACTAGATCTACACTAAAATCTATATTATATTAAAAATTAAATACTAACGGATTCAAGTTTCGTGATGAAATTGTTCGTACACTCCGCAGTCTTGTCCGGGATCTCTATAATATTAAGGACCATTATTTATATATTTTTTAAAGTACCTATTTCCTGTAAATTATCTGAGTTACAGAAATTTAAGTTGAAGCCGTTAGTAATAACGGAGTCATCAGCAAGACTCCGGGTTCAAGTCTCATTCGTCAAAAATAATAGGTAAAACCGCTTTCATAAACGACTTTTAATGACGTAAGGACTTACTTTGACCGCTGAATATAATATTATATTATAGGATAATAATAACCGACGAGCGTGTATGCGTAGATATATAGATGAAGAGGCGAGAGAGGTATGGCAGGATCGTAGCAAATGGAAGTCAGTAGTATCTGCCTACCCATCTGGGTGACAAGCGTGAGTGTTTATGTTTTTTTATATTTATTTTTGAATAAAACTAAACTTTATGGATATAAACTCGTTTATTTTTATCAAGTCGTATGCTTTGTAGCAGACATGATTTGTTCTGGTTCTCCGTCATCTATCTCATCCATCCATTAGAGCCTATAAAGGTCCACTGTTGAACATAGGCCTCAGCATATATAGCCCCATAGGTGGGATTTTGCGATAGTTACCACGTTTAGCAGGCGAGTTGACAACCGCAGTTATTTATAATTTTGGGTTGTTATCTGGAAAATGCTGTTGCTGATTTCCTGTTTTAGTTTCCTCTGCCGGTTTCACGACACCCACGGGACGATGAGGTTGTGGATATTCTTACATTGTCACTACACGGTTAACAGTACGGTTCTGGTTCTTCTTTTATAAAATAAGTGCGACAAACGAGCACACAGTTCACCTGATAGTAAGTGGATGCTGTGGCCCATAGACGTCTACATTTATCCTCAATTAAGAATCAAAATGCAGATGCATTGTCATCCCTGAAAACTGAGATGACCTCGTTTCCAGTAAAAAGGGTGTCCTGTTCTCTACAATCATCATAAACACAGCAGCATTAAGCTGCTATTTTACGCTGGTGTTCTGTGAGAGCGTGGTCTCATACCGGACGAACCGACCCATTCATGCTGCATGCACAATATAGCTGCAGCATGGCTCTACAACGTAAAAAGAAATATTCCCCGTTAAAACGTTCCCCGTATTACTATATAATTTTGTATTCAATACAAGAAATAATAATTTTATAATATTTTACTTCTTATTCTCTTCCATATCAGCACGTAACTGTTCATTGTTGGCTATTTGGTTCTCTACTATTGTGGGCGGGATTTTCCACAATCACCACGCTTTGCAGGCGTATTGATGATAGCAGTCCAGATATCTCGCACCTTAATCTGTCAAAGGCCTAGTCAAGAGTACCCTAAACCGTGGAGTATGTATGAAGGGAATAATGAAAGTGGACGAAGCGAAACAAGTATGTAAGGATCGTAGCAAGTGGAAAGAAGTGGTCTCTACCCATCGAAGGCCAAGTAGACTTTGTTTGCCTATCCCATAGTAGGCACTTACGACATCCTCGACTCAAACTGAGAGGATGAATTCAGGGGATGAATTCCTTTACGACGGGACGACCACACTGCTTTGTATTATTACAGGTTTTAATTATGTTTATACGATACAATAGTATATACAAAAATGGGTGGACCTTTTTCGTTGTCAGTTTCGACCTTTTTTATTGCACTTCTAGTTCTCTTGGCGACTGGCGAAGATTTCGGTGATTTTTCAGGATGGTCTAAAGTATTATTACTATAATTAATCATATTCTTACGAAATACGTTCTAACATTAAAATGTATGTGTCGTACCTGACTGAGATGCCATGGCTGTCTGTACATAAATATATCACTGTCGACTGATTCAATTAAAGCACCTAGCTACAATATTTCGCATACGTGGTAGTGCCACGTTGCAACTGTATTTTGGTTGTAGCACGAATGTAGGTCGGCTCGACCGAGATAGGACAACGCTCTCACAGAATACCAGCGTGAAATAGCAGCTTAATACTGTTGTGTTTCATATGGTGAGTGTAGAGCACCGGAGACTCTTTTTACTGGAAACGAGGCATTCCATCTTAGTCCTCAGGGGTGACAACGCATCTGCATTTTGATTCTTAATTGAGGATAAATGTAGATTTATAGGTGCCACAGTATCCACTTACCATCAGGTGGTATGTTCGTTTGTCACCCTAATCTATAAAATAAAATAAATCCTGTTGCTAGAGGATATAGCCATATGAACTCACCCTAGTATGGTTCATCATAACCAAGTACATATTTATACCATTATATCGAAACTAAAAATATACGAAAGCCTTAAAATTGTATGACGAATTAAGGCTCATTTTTCAATCATCAATTTTAAATAAGTGTTGTATGACTATAATGCTCAATGACCTCAATAGTGTTTCCCAACGGATAGGTCTTAAAATGAACATGGACAAAACTAAGATCATGTTTAATGTCCATGTCACACCTATGCCGGTAGTTGTTGGGAACACTAAGCTCGAAGTTGTTGACGAGTATGTTTACCTGGGACAAATAGTCCGACTAGGTAAGTCCAACTTCGACCGAGAGGTCAATCGACGGATTCAACTCGGTTGGGCAGCGTTCGGGAAATTACGGCACATCTTCTCGTCAGGTATACCTCAAACCTTGAAAACGAGACTGTACACCCAGTGCGTGTTGCCAGTGATGACATACGGAACTGAGACGTGGTCCTTCACTGCTGGCCGGATGAGGAAGCTCAAGGTCGCTCAGCGAGCTATGGAGAGGGCTATGCTCGGAGTTTCTCTGCGTGATAAACTTAGGAATGAGGATATCCGCAGTAGAACCAGAGTAACCGACATAGCCCAACGGATTAGTAAGCTGAAGTGGCAATGGGCCGGCCATATAGCTCGAAGAACCGACAACCGATGGGGAAGAAAGGTTCTCGAGTGACAGCCTCGTACCGGTAGGCGAAGTGTAGGGCGTCCCCCCACGAGATGGAGTGACGACCTGGTAAGACATGCAGGAAGTCGATGGATGCAGGTGGCTCAGGACCGTGCTTTGTGGCATTCTTTGGGGGAGGCCTATGTTCAGCAGTGGACTTGTGAAGGGCTGTAATGATGATGATGATGACTATAATAGTTTAAGAGTTTCACGTCTGAATTCAGTCAGATTATAATATATTTGGTAGACCGCCTCGCTGATGTAGTGGTCACAAACGTGATCGTGAAATCCCGGGTTCGAATCCCGGGTGGGGCCAAAATCAATTATCGGTATTTTTGTCGAAAAAATTCTCAGTAGCAGCCCAGAGTTTTTTTTTTAATAGGATAAGGGTGACAAACGAACACACAGTCCACCTGATGGTAAATGGTTGCTGTGGCCCGTAGACATCTACATCTATCTTCGTTTGCGAATCAAAATGCAGATGCGTCGTCACTCGTGAGGACTAAGATGGAACGCCTCGTTTCCAGTAAAAAGGATCTCCGGTTCTCTACACTCACCTAACGAAACACAGCAGCGTTAAGCTGCTATTTTACGCTGGTATTCTGTGAGCGTGGTCCTTCCCCGGTCGAGCCGACCCATTCGTACTACAACTATACTACTAATATAGCTACAGCATGGCCCTACCACGTAAAGGTAGGAGTCAGAACAAGATGGCGCTGTTTCACCCCCGTGTAATAGAGAGCACGTAAAGCCGTTGCTCCTACCCCTGATCTCAGTTCTCCGTTCATATCGGAATAACCGTCCCAACGGTCTATAAGAGTGAGGGAATAGAGAATGCACCTGGGCTTGCACACTATAATCCTGTCTTGCGCAGATGGCTAGTGGCAGTTGAGACTGGCCGCCGTGACCGAAATTCGGCCTGGTGGCCATTATAATTTATTTTGTGAATAATTTTAATCGGATGATAGAAAAATCAGCCCTTAAACAATATCTGCTTATTTCCAAATTCGACCTATGCGAAAACTTTCGAACGTCGTCGGACATTATTAACAACGCACATGTATATTCTTTCTTCAATTAATTACACTGCTGACCATATGACCTAAAGAAACTCAGAGTGGATATCTGCAATAGTTGCCACAATTGGCAGGCAGGTTGGCAACCGTATAAAACACTATATTATTTTTTAAGTTGCTGCTGCCCATATGTCGATTAATTTGTCAGTCGCCTCTTACAACACCCATAAAAAGATACCGAGTTAGTGGATTATCTAACGCCGCCGCTTTCTACACGACGATAAATATAATGACCATGCATTATTTACACAAACGTCGGGAACTCGCTCTTCCTAACTTATTTGTGTCGGATGTTTATGCAGCACGAATGGAACGATCAGACCGGGGAAGAACACGCACGCCGAAACATTTGCGTCAAATAGCAGAATAATGCTGCTGCTGTATGGTGAGTGACGAGAAACAGAGACCCGTCGTACTATTAACAAGGCATTCCATTCTATTACTCAGAGGTGACAACGCATTTGCAATTTGATTCTTAATCGAGGACAAATCTATATTCTTAGACCCGTATTAATAAACGTTACTCAACTCAAGTACACGCACTTGAGTACAATCTTAAGGTTATGATATTATTAATAAAGAAAGATATCTCAAGACGTGGTTTAGGTTTACGATATCAGCTGAGTGCCACGTTGATTAATAAACGAGACTCGACTCTCAAGTGTGTGTACTTGAGTGCAAGTCACAGAACAGTATTCCTAAGTATAGCGTTTTGAGATACTGTTTTTATGTGTTTATTAATTAGCAACGATCTTGAGATGCTGATAATAAGGGCGTATCAAATGATTACGCACTTGAGTTCGTCGTTGAGTAACGTTTATTAATACGGGCCTTAGAGGCCGCAGCATACACTTAACATCAGATCGACTGATGTGTGCCGCTTTATGAGGATGCATATTCAAAGAAAAGAGGACGTTAAAACATAAGAATCTGAACCTGAAAGATCTATTTGTCTAGTTTGGTTCCGACTCGTTAGCTTTTGTAGTCCTCATAAGCTCATAAAATTTCAAAGTAGAGTGCGAGAATATCAGTACGAGGTTGGTTGACCTCACCTGCTTGCTCGTTATCGTCGTTATTTCCAGACGCTTTCACCTTATCATGAACCGCTTTAAGATGTCCTTTGAGCCATTTAAAATTAGCGTAACCTAGAAAAGTACACGATTATAGAATTTCAACTCTGTTACGATGTGTGTAAAAAAAAACCTTAAGGTGAAAGCGCCAGGGTAAGCCGCGAAATTCAAATTTTCTTGCGTTTTTACAATTTGTAGGTTATTGTCAGTTTGTATGTTTAACAAAATATGATTCGCGACTTTAACGAGTATGTATTTACAGAACTACGAGTATAATCATTATAATCATCAATACAACCGTCTATGTTCGTATAATACTGGAGTGTAGCTATTTCCAGAAAAACTCATTCAAAGGGATTATATGAACTTAAGAGGGTTGTATTGGTAATTTTAATGATAATAATTCTGTAAACACATACTCGTTACAGTCGCGAATCATATTTTATTAAACATACAACCTGACCCTGACCTGCATATTCCAAAAAACGCAAGAAAATTTAAATTTCGCTGGCCACCCTGGAGCCTCCATCTTAAAGAGCTTACAATTAAATAAGCTCTTTGGTTTACCTGACGTGGTGAGGATCACAGATTAGATGATTAGGAGTCAATCTTTCAAGTAACGAGTGGATATGGGCATTCTCTCGAAAAGGCCAAAAACTACTGGATTCAAAATGTAGATAAACCCATAAGGCTTTAAGACTAGTACTTTTAGTTACCTTTTCTCGTTATGTGTTATAACTTCTTATAGTTTTAGCTATTAAATTAATTATTTGCAAAAATATACTATTTCTCAATTTAATAAAGTCCAAACAGTTAAGTATTCAATGTGAAATTTTGTATGTTTATACCGTAATCGCATAGCGGACATGGAAATACTTCTCCATCGTCCAAATTATGTTTGTGCTCTTCACCATGTTCTATCACCTTGTCAATTTCTTCAAAAATACAGTCACAAAATCTGCAAACAAATTTTCAGGTAGTGTCAAAAGTCGGGCGGCAAAGAATTGCTAACATAGAGAAATCATAGACGTAATCGACAAATGCTGCATATTTGTAATAATCCTTAACGCACCTGCATTTTAATTCTTTTAGTTTATCATTATTGTTAAACTGATAAATCCCCAAAAACTCTTTAACATCCTCGTCAGCTTCTTCCAAATTATCTATTATGTTATCATCTATATCTGCATCGGGCTCTATGATTTCAACATCACTAGAACTATCCTTTTTCTCATCTTTTATAATGTTAACGTCATCGGAAGATCTAGTGTCGTTATCAATACATTTTGTCACTATTTCACCATCAGAACCTATTTCAACCTTTACAAATTCAAGTTTATCATTTTCTTGAGGGTCCTTGGGCGATTCTACATCTATAGCTACCAAATCCTGGATAACTTGGAAGTCATTTACTTTTTGGAAGATATACTGCTGATTATTTTTAATGACAAGAAATTCATTGGATCTAAGGGATTGTGTAGGACTTTTCATATCACACGGTTTAAAATATGTAGCTAAACACTGGTCGCATATAATTTTAAGTTGAGTTGGATATTTCTTAGGCGAAGAACATCTGTGTAACTTTTGATCTTCATTATCAAACAAATATGATTTTTCCACGGTGTTGTCAACCTTTCCGCAAATAAAACAATTTTGCTGATTTTTCTCTTCAGTTTTTATATCTATGTAGGATAAAGGCTTATTGTGCCAATTTTTGTGTAACCGAGAAGGATCAGTTTTACGCACATGACGTCTTTTTTCATTATTATTTTGATTTTCTTCGTAAGGTAGGGATGTAACAGGAGAGTCTTTAAACATATTAAGAATTTCTTCGCGTGTAAAATTTGTGAAATCATCTTTACGACACTGAGTCTGAAAGTTTTCATCATAGTTTTTGTAATTTTCCTTAATTAAACTTCTCGGGGACCTATTGCTATTGGCAACTGGATTTAGAGTTGCATAAGTTTTTGATGAACTTGATTCTAAATATTTTGAAAACTGGGCTTCAAAATTAGACGTGTTCGAACAAACAAGTCTAAAGGGTAAACTGTTAACGAAGCTGCATTTAGGACTAGAGTTTCTACTCGACCAACGTGTAACTGGACTTTCAATAATATTAATTTTTTTAGTATTTTCAATGTTTAGATCGTCGTCTTCATTCTCATCGGTATCATTTGAGTACTTGACAAATGGTATTTTTTCTGCTGTTAAGTCTAAAGGCGGATCTTCGTTATCAAAGTGTATTTGAGAGGCACGTATCTGTGTTCCATCATCAAGAACGTACATGAAACCATCACCGCCATTTGCGTTACGTTCTAATTTCTGGTTATAATCATGCGCAAATAGATCTGGCTCATTTTGTAAGTTCAGTTCTAAATTTAGCAGATAATGATAAATGTTTTCATTTAGAGATACGGGATGGTCGCCTGTAATGGAGCTAAGATCTACATCAAAACCTAACAAAGATCTGAAACGTAAGATATAAACATAATTAGTTTGAAAAGTAATGTCTAGCTAAAAATAATATTATAGAATATAGATTACGTTTATTGAAACACGATTTGAAATATGTATATGTATGAAATATAAGTACTTGCATATTGTTTTATTTTTATTTTTAAATAACATTAACCCAACGGTAAGATTATACTATATCATGAAGGCGTTATACCTAAATGTATTGTAAACGGACTACCGTCAGTACCAGGAACAATTTTTTGTAGGATATAGAAACACTTGTTCCATGCGAGCTTAGAACCCGGGGCTCCGCAGCGCCGCTACCTAACACTTAGGCACTGCACTACTATTCTGGATCCCAAATTCATAAACATTCTTATTGAGGACCGTTACAGCCTATTAAAGTATATTGCTGAACATAGACCTCTCTCATAGATACATAGTCTCATCAGGGGAATATTTGGCATAGTTGCCACATTCGTAGTTTTTTATTTTGTCAATATTAGGAAAGTCTCCTGATTTGTTTCCCTTTGTCGCCTCTTATGACACCCACGGGATAATATGGGGCAGTGGATATTCTTACACCACCATTACATGGCTTATTGAGGACATAAATTAGGAAATATAATAAAAGTCAATTTCGAAGACGCGTGGCGGACATTTCCCTGCCCTATAACCCTCTCAGATATGAGGGGAGGCCTGTGCCCAGCAGTGGGACGTATATAGGCTGCAACTTTAGGGGCCTATAAGAATTGGATCCATGTCCTTTCACCAATTTTAGTGACCAGGCCCATCAAAATAAAAACAAAGTACAGCAATACATAATGAAAAAACCCTTACAAACAATATTATGTCGCCAACTTTTTCACATAATACAAGCGTAAAGTAGCAGCTTAATGCTGCTGTATTTTGTATTGTGAGTGTAGAGAAAAGGAGACCCTTTTACTGGAAAAGAGGCATTCCATCTTAATCCTCATGGCTGATAACACATCTGCATTTTGATTTTTAAATGAGGATAGATGTAGATGCCTATGGGCCACAGCAACCACTTACCATCACTGGACTGTATGCTCGCTTGTCACCCTTATCCTATAAAAAAATACTACAAAGCAATGAACAAATTACAGTATGCTTACTAGATACAAACGATGATTAAAACACATTAATGCAAGCTTTCAGAAAGCTAGGATACAGGTTTAATGACATAAGGAAAATCACAGCAGATCCAAACATTAATAATTTGTGTTCTTGCACAAACCTGATATTTATGATTTATTTAACAATTACACATCATTGCTAGCATTACAGTCTACAGGACTGCTTGTGTGCAGCCAGTATGCAATATAATAATTTTAGACATAGATAATATTTCAAAGGATATTAAAGGAAAAAAGGAATAAGGATTATGGGTACTTCGCTTTATCCAGGAAAGTTTGGAAATTGTCATTAGGTTCTATGCTAAGTGTTACTTCTTCCCCATTCATATTCTCCATACACAGTATTAAGGGTTGAAGCTGTTGATCCATAACTACAATGGCTGAAAATGTACCATAACTTTGAGAATGCTATTTAAAATTTAAGAACATCATAATCAAATATTACTGTATTGAACTATCATTAAGAAATTAACATATGATTGGTATTCCTGTATTCTAAATTAATATAACCAGGGAAGGACTACACTCTCACATAATACCAACATATAATAACAGCTCGAGTGAGTGTAGAGAACTAGAGACCCTTTTTACTGAATACAAGGCATTCCATTTTAGTCCTCAGCAGTAACAATACATCTGCATTTTAATTTTTAATTGAGGATAAATGTAGATGGCCTGTGTGCTCATTTGTCACCTTATTCTATAAAAAAAAAACGTAAAATCATTTTTTTCTAAGGCCGTAGAGCCAATACACAATTGCAAACTTTGTTGAGATAAATTTGGTGCTTGGTTCGTAGATACCACTTACCATCAGGTGAACTATGTGCTTATTAGTCACCGTTATTATAAAAAAAAATATTGTAAAACCGTCCCATTAAAAATCACATGTATGCCAAATATGTATAAATTATTATTTATTCTGTAAAGAAACAGTTTATGGTAAATTTAAGTTATCAAGCTCACTTAAAGGTCTTTGCTTGCAATGGCGGCATGGCCGGTAATGCACTTTCCTTTAAGTGGTTGAGTAGGGTGAGCAACACATTTATTAGCTTTCATTTTACAAATATTTTTGTTGTTAAACCTATGAGTCTACCTTTTTAATTTTGATAAGGATTATATCAAGTTATTAAAAAAATTAAATAAGAGGATTCCTGCAGAATTTCTTTTGCCCTCAACCTACTTTGTATCTTATTTTGAAATGTTAGTAGATTAACCCCTCATGTGCCTGACCGATTTATGTTTTTACGCTTCAAGTGTCAGCGTCCGTTTTGGAGATTAGTGTGATACCAGTAGGTGCTAGTGTAATGCTAGTGTAAAGTGTTTTTACTTTTGTATGTCAACTATATATAAAACTTATACGCCATCAATTCCTTATGAGTTAAGATATTTGATTTGTTTTTAAATAAAAATATTAAATTCTATTTGTATAATATTATCAATCTCATTTCAAAATTGCATGACATAGGTTTGCCGGTTTCTTAAACATAAAGTTTAAGGATTATGAAATGATGAAGCCATTATATAAAACGGTATTTGTATTATTTACTTAACAATACATTATATTAAAATAGATTAAAAAATCACACCCCACCAATACATTTTTTCAGACAACAAACTTTTTAATATTTACCTCCTTTTATGCGGCAAAATAGAAACAAGTTAAAACAATCAAAAATTTTCAATTCAAAAACATTTGAAAACCTTACATTACTGCCTTGTATTTAACAACATTAATCTATGTTGTTGACAGATTAAACCAGCATTTTATTTTTGAACAACATACATTAAAGATATGTTTAATTGAAGAAATGGGCACACGGGATCAAATGACACACAGCCATGCATGCGCTGTCAAACAGCAGCGGGTGTCATGACACTTGAGGGGTTAAATAATATGTAGATGTTTAAGAAACAGACTTTTAATTTCTTGGGGAAATTTTTTTTTTATTTAAATTCATTTCTTAAAATTATTAAGATAGTTACAGAGACCCTAAATTTAAAACTCAACATGTTAAATGGACCATAATTTTTGAAACCATTTCAGTCTTCCCACTGGGACTATGGGAAAGAGATGAAGTAGTAAGGTTAAAAATGAATTCATATGACAATGCATAAATTCAAACAAGCCACAATGCATTTCAGGGGACTAAAACAGGGAACTATGCTAAACAAAACATAAACATTGTTCAGGCACCCCCAACCAAGTGCAGGTACAGTCATTGGAACAAACAGTGCTATTAGAGATATCAATAAATGATTAAATTAAATAATCAAATTAAAATTCATATTTCATTAATTTGTTGCCAACCCAATGTGTTGGTGGTAAGTCACTCTGGAATACATTGTTTTCATTTTAAAAACTTTAAATTAATTTAAAAAGAAACAAATGAATATATTTTATTGCACTGAAAATGCAGTAAAGTTGTAATTTACTATAAAACAATTTGAAGCAAGAGCTGATATCTCTGTGTAGAGTACAGCCATGTTAAACGTTTTTCTTTATTTTAATTTCAAAGCATACGGTCAAACTTTCCAGCCAAGCCACATTAAAAGCGCGAAAGTATTAATAAAAGTACAATTTTATGACAGGCTACTAATATAATAACACTGATGGCCAGTGACAAAATACAATGAGATGTACAAAATAGAACGAAATGTGGGTGATTAATAAACATATTCGTAAAAATGTCGTGTAAAGTTAATGAACTAACCAAATATTAATCCGTAACTACAAAATAAATTCGTACCGCAATCGAAACAAACAACTGGCACATCAAGAATCACGAAATATCAACAAAAACAAACGCGTCGTCGCATATGTCAATGTCAAACGTCAATTTGAATATTGAACTGAATGAGTGATGTGTTGTAATTCGATTATTTAATTTATTAACCATAATCGATAGAGGAAAAAATTATTGATTTGAATATTAACAGTAAGATAAGGGTGAGGATTTTGACTAAGTTGAGATATTTTATATCTGTTTTCAAACCAATTCTTCACTTCTGACAATAAAATGAAACTGTGTTTCCGAACCTAACAGCGTTGAACTCAGTGGAGAGGCGAGCTAAGATTTGATTTTGTTGAAACTAATCTTGTCAGCCTTGAACATAGGCGCAGAGTATTCAGCCCCACGGTATTCTATAGGATATTCTATATTTCGGTAAGTGTGCGCAAGAATTACATGCCTTAATTTCTGCCTGCCTTTTCCACCATTGGGCATTGGGCAACCGGGCAGTTGGCGGGTCTTCACCCCTTTATTGTCGATATTCCACGCATTCGAAACAAACGGTTTGCATCATCATTTGTAATGTGTACAGCTAAATAGTTGATTAACATGCCAGCGTCTGACTTTCCGTCTAATTACAATCTCACCTGGATTCTTCAAAACAAAATGGCTTAAAAATAAATGACATGATGAATGATACAAAATTATTATTTTTAGATACAAAATGTTATACACAAAAGCATTAATAAGATATTAGAAAATAAGAATGTCAACTGATATCTTAATAATGGGTTATTGCCATAAATTGTGCAGTTTGGTGTAAACCAACCATAATTGAAGAAGTTCACGTTACTATACCCGTATACTGCCACAAATATCGTGTATCATTTACAGTGCTCTCTTGTTACTTACTTTAGTTGAAGTAAAAATTTATAACTAAAATAACAATGTCTCAGTCATTGGAAAAATATTCATTAGTAATATTTTGTGATGGATTACTATCACAAACTAATAAGAAATGCTAGTGCAATTACTATTAGATGAATGGGATTGAGATCAAGAAAAATTTTCCGATACAATGTGCTCTTCCGATGTCTTGGATTCTGAGGAGTTATCAGAAGAAGATGTAGAAAAGCGATTGAAATAAATAAGAAGGTAGGTAAAATACGCGGAAGATTTATAGTAGTGATGAAGATCAATCTTTTCCTTATTGGATATTGAAAAGAAGTCCAAAAATATTTTTAATGAAGTTTAAAAAGGGTAAAAATTGCAGCCCAGTATTAGAGGTATGTTTTTTTATGGCAATTTGAAATTTTATTAATTCTTTTTTTCTTTTAAATTATTGTTTAATCCACAAGATGCTTTGTAAATTACAGAAACTGTGCTGTTAATATGTCCATCATATTCAGAAAAAGAAATTACAGACGCTGCAGGACTCTGGCTTGATCAAGCCAGTATTCGAGTGAAACGCGCTGCAGCAAAAAATTGATTCTATTTGTTTGTTTACATTTGATAGAAGATTATGTCTTAAATGATATTTTATTGAATTTTTATGTATTGAAGTGTTTTAATAAATTAAAGATTATCTTATAACTCAAAAAGTCACTATTTCGTTAAAACAAGTACCTATCTGTAAAAAGCTATTTATATAATGATCATTAATCATTCAGATAATCGGATGTCTCCAGATACAAAATATGTTTATGTGAAGGGGCCGTCCGGAAGGGACGGAAGGAACCCCAAATGCTGTTAAAAATAGGACAAATCTGAAGAAACTCTAACGGCAGCCATATGTGCAGACAATGCGCAGTGTGCAACTTATGAACATGTTAGTAGCGCGGTGGTGCATAAGCGGCATATAAAATTGCATACAAATTGTGCTTGTGCAAAAAGAGAAAGAAGGCTTAACATGCGCAATTAAACAACTTGCACTCTCAATTATTTACTATCCAAAAAGTGATTTTACGAACATATTTGATGCACAGTAGTAGCGAGTAGATAGTACTTGTGTAGTCTACAGCCCATCTTCTCTAATAGCGGGTTTTCATTAACTTTACATACATTAGTAGAATTGTACAAACAGTAGCATTTAGTGATTAGTACTACTTACTCTCTTTGTTATGGTTATACGCACGATTAAAATAAAATAGAATCGCTTTTTATTCTTATTTTGAGTACTCCCATTAGAGTGCTAATTATATGTACTCTCATATAACACTAAGATAATGGACTGTTAGCAATGTAAATCGCGCCACCGACTATCGTTTTCTTATCGAACCAAACGAAAACAATTGAGCGACCATTGTAACTAATTCTATTAACCAGTTTCATTCTACTCTTAACTAAAGTGATGGTCAGTAATATCTTGCTGACATCATGCTCGAAATAATAAAGGCTGCGGGCTATGTTCAGCAATTGAGGCACATTGAGGCGCTCCATGATTTGAAGGTGAATTCGCATAGATCTCTACGAGATACGCCGAAAAGTAAGAATATTTGTTTCGATATTTCGCTTAGTTTCCGAGATATCGATACTCAAAAATTATTTTTTAAACAGGAATATTAATCTAAACAGAAAGTTACTTCTTCAATAGCTTCGGCGTTGGAGGAAGTATAGCCACCGCCTGCTGTAGCAAATAGCAGGCAACTATGCCAGCCGTAGCGGCTGAGACTGGTCGCCGAAGCCAACCAATAAGCCAAAGCTGCAGAGGTGAGCATAGAGGACTGGATTAGCTCACTGGATTATTGGACTTGATAAATGTAAATCGAGCATTAGTAAAAAGGACAAAACTATTGCTCCTGTGCAGATATAATCCTCAAGGTGTCCACTTAGGCTTTTTTAAGAATTTGAGATACTGTCGCCCTCTACGGTCTGCTGGTTTTAACTGGTATCGAAATCTCTCACTCCCAAAAACCTCAGCAAAGTGATGGTATTACATATATATTGTGGGGTAGTTTTGGATAACAAATTATTTCGAGAATTATTTCCTATTACTTGATACTGGCAAAAGTACAATCATACGAATCCATTACGAAAGAAAAAAAAATATGTTGTCATTTACACAATAATCATCTTAATCGCAATAATGGCCGATTAAGTTATTTTAAAATATGAGTTAGATCTATGGGTTTAATATGAAGTGCTAGTATTGTTTTCTAATCAAATAAAAAGTTAAGTGTTTGAATGATTTTAAAAGGTTAATACTGCGGAATGTTTCCGCTAACACCGCCGGTAGTGAAACGACTTTTAGAGTGGAAAAAGGGTCCTGAAGGATCATCCGCTGCAGAGGACAAATGGTCAGAAAAGGCAGTGAAAAGTTTAGTTAAGAAGTTAAAGAAAAGCGGAGCTCTTGAGGAATTAGAAAAGGCGATATCTAGCCAGAGTAGTCACACAAAATGCGTTACTATTCCAAGGTTAGTAATTCAGTTTATTATTATCACAGAATACATATTAGTATAGGTTGTATTGTTTTTATTTTGAGTCTTATAATTTTGAAGGATATTGATAAGTATTTGAACTAGCGGTTTTTTATTTTATAATTATTTTTTGAAGAACCCATTAAAACCTGCGAGTTTTTAAATTAGTATTTTTCGTTTTATTTTTATTTGTATTCGAGTACCTACACTGGTGAAGGGAGATATTATTTTCGACTTCCGGATGTGTCATAAACATAAATTTACATCTGAATGTACAAACTTCTGAGACCAATGTCATAATCATAATGTCTGTTTGAAATGAGTTTTCATGGAAATTATTTGGAAATTGGTATTTGGTATACTGTAATCTTAATTTTATTGATTACTTCGAAATATAATATATTACACAAAGAAAAAGTACTTTGGGGATTAAAATGATCTTGGTATGTCGTATCTTCATTATATGTACTTTTATATTGTTTCTACATAAAATAATAAATAAATTTTATTATTACGAATCCCGCGCGTTTAGAGTGAAGGTGGTTGAACCATTTAAAGTAGAAGCCAGAACTTCGTTCAAAATGCGACCAAAAATTATAACCTTGCCAAATATTGAAGTAAAGCAGGCTCATTGACCTCGCGGCGTTTAATGACCATCGTATTTTGGTTATATAACCGCAGACAGGACGCAAAATCGCAAAAGGAAGGTCAAATCGCCGTCAAAACAATCGAAGCTTTTTATCAATATGGCGGCGGATTTTTGGACCTCAATTTTTCTAATTCGCCATGCATAATTGCAACCTTTATAGCTTAGTGTGAATATTTGTTTGATTATTGGCGCTGTCGCTTTGCATTTGCACCGATATTTAAGGTAACTATTTTCAGAGGGTTATGGTGATAAAATTTTGTGATATTCAAATAATACATGAAAATTTATTACATTTCGAGAATTGTTAGATTATTCATTATTTATTTCGCGTTTTTATACTGAATTAATTTGAAATATTTTGTCTCAGTACCATTTATTCTCATATTCAGATGCTTGTTTCTGTAAATTAGACTATAGCTTAATAATATGTACATACTTTTGTTTATTCATTCGTAAAAATAACCGATTAAAGTGGTATTTAATAAATCTATTTCGATGTATATAATAATCAAAAAAAAAGCTTCCTCGAAAAATAATATTTTCGCAAAAACGAAGTATATGTAGATAAAAAATTTATAGAATTCAGAAAATCTGGCTTCTTCACAAATTTTTAGAGCATTTTGTTAGGTTCTCTAATCAGCTGTTTTCTGTACAAACCTACTTTAAATATTAATACACTTTTATAAATACACATTTTTAGTAATTTTAATTTTAAAGTTTTAATAAAAAGTAAAAAAATTAGTTCTAAAAACTACAACAATAAAATAATTTCCTCATACCAGCTTCAGAAGTCGGTGTTAAGGCAATGTATAGAAGAAAATATTTAATTATTTTTAGGTCTTTGAATTCATATTTTAATTTAAACAAAAGTTTAATTATTTGATACTTTTGAGTAGTCTAAGGACCAGGGTAATAACTGAAATGTTGTCTAAATAGTAAAATTAAAAATGTCATTACCTATTTTCCCACCCTTGTAAGTGGTATTTTTTCTCCAAATTTAATTGGCCATCCTTAAAGTATAACCTATTAAAAAAAATATTAAAATTTGTTCATAATTGACAAAGATATCCTGTAATGTATAACCAACAAGTGGTAAAATTAAAAATTTTGTACAACCAACATCTGTATAAATAATTTATTGTTGATTTTTCTAAAACCGCTTGACTGATTTTTATAAAATTGAAATGGGAGCCTTTGTACATTCTAGTCTATATTTTTTTTAGTCCAATTGTTTTTCTTAATCCAACCTTTGGTTTTTTTGCAGCAACACATCAGACAGTAGATGTCTTTTAACCGTTGTTATTGAAATAGCTGTTGCTCGTGTATCATTCACAGATGCGGTTATTTGTGGTGCAGTTAAGCATCGATTCCATTTAGAGAGAACTCTGATGAAGTTGTCTTCTTGATTTGTTGTTGATTTGGGCCTACCTGATCTTTTTCTATCGTCCTTATTCCCAGTTTCTTGTGTTCTAATAAGTGTGTAGTGGACACCTTTACAAGAAATTCCGAGTCTAGCTGTATTTTTACGTTCACTGTATCCTTCCTCACATAGAGTACAAAAAGCACTTTGCAGGTCAGGTGTGATTTGCTTGCGTTTTGCCATTTTCAGAAGAAAAAGTACAGTCAAAGCGGTTTCCAAAATCTTTCGCATACAGAGAATGTTAATATTATCACAACCTTCTCGTGCTATAATGCTCAGGTGTGACTATAGTGGGTCGAAAAAAGTTAACACTAGCAAAAGAGTTAAATAAAATCACACCATTGCATAAAAGAAAGCACCTAGATTAAGTCATAAAACATCGGTTTTGTCAAAATTAAGGAATTTCTTAAAACTTGATGAATGTGGTATGATAATCCTTTTGCGTTTGTGTACATAATTGTAAAAAGTCATAAAACTTATTTTATTACTCACTTTTACTGCAATGTTTTGTTTTATATGTGCTTCCAAACTTCTGGACCATAGTGCATATACCCTATAGCTCGAATTTCTAAAAGCAGACTCTTTAGTTGAAGTCTGTAAAATATAACAACATCTTACTTGGAATTTCCCAAACTCATCCAATAAAATTCAAATGGAATGATTGTTGCTTCTGTTCTATTGTGCGTTCTTTGTAAACATGGAATGCATGAATACATTCATTAAACTTTCTAATTAAAACATACCTTATGTTTGTTTATGTTTAGGCTCATTGCTTTAAAAGAAGTTTACTATCGGTCCCTACTTATTTGATTTTAACTTTTAAACATTATCATGACTACAAAACGGAAAGTAACAAAACAAAATTTTACTTTATCAATGTGGTAAAAAGACGTGGTAGCTCAATAGAGATTACCAGCAAGCACTTTGTCTACAATACTTAAGAATTAAGCTAAAGATATGAATCAAGTAGCAATTTGTCTTGCAAAAGAAGGGCAATTAGCCAAAATTTTAGCAATTAAATCCTTTACATCACGAAATTCTTGTAGAGTCAAAAACTCATCATCTCAAAATTTTTAGCATTTCCTTTCCTTTATATCTCGAAATTCTTGTAGAGTCAAAAACTCATCATCTCAAAATTTTTAGCATATCCCTTCCTTTATATCTCGAAATTCTTGTAGAGTCAAAAACTCATCATCTCAAAATTTTTAGCATTTCCCTTCCTTTATATCTCGAAATTCTTGTAGAGTCAAAAACTCATCATCTCAAAATTTTTAGCATTTCCCTTCCTTTATATCTCGAAATTCTTGTAGAGTCAAAAACTCATCATCTCAAAATTTTTAGCATTTCCCTTCCTTTATATCACGAATTTCTTGTAGAGTCAAAAACTCATCATCTCAAAATTTTTAGCATTTCCCTTCCTTTATATCACAAAATTCTTGTAAAGTCAAAAACTCATCATCTCAAAATTTTTAGCATTTCCCTTGAAATTTGTTATTGAGATTCCACTGTATTTCATATATATTTTTATTTCTCAAACACGAGTACTGTTTTATGCTCTTTTTTATTTATTTTCTAGTTTTACTCACTATTTTGTCTTTTTAAAACCATATCTGTTGTATTTAATTATTTACTCCCCTACTTATTTCTACATTTATTTATGTGAGTTTCTAATTTGACAATAATGAAAAAGTGAAGCAATAATTTAAGGCAATTTATAACATTAAAAAGAGTGCCAACTAACGGCTATCTGAAGAGGTTAGTTGACTACATCTTGAAACAAAGTGATGTTGCATGATATGAATGATGATATATTTATATATTTTCCTATTATGTAGTATTTTATTAATATATGTAACATATATACATCTTTGTATTTATGCAATAAATATGTATATTTAATAATGTTTTGTTTATATATTAACACACATGTGATAGGAATTGTATATTATATATAGGAATTATATAGTTTAGTTTAGTTTAGTTTACGACGGGCTGTTTTCCGCAACTCCACGTCTATGCGCGTATTTTGCGTGTGGGCAGGAATAATGTGATTATTCGAGCCATGAGATCTCTCCGAAGAAGCTCAACAGGGCCTTGATGTTGCATGCAACTTCGGGGAGTGATCCCGGCGTGCCGAGATGTTTAGCCCTGTATGTAGCGACCTCCGGACATTTCAGTAGCACGTGGGCCGCCGTTTCTTCCTCCCCCATACATGCCCTGCACAGGGGACTATCTGTAACACCTATAGTAAATAAATGTTTGTTAAAGGTGCCGTGTCCTGTGATAGCACTTGTTACTATCCTAATCTGCGGCTTGTTCAGTCTCATTAAAACTTTTGTTAAGCGACTGTTAATTTCAGGCAGGGCATCCCTAGCTTGTCTACAGTCTACTAGATTTTTCCAAAGCTGAGCGTGTTGATTAGTAAAGTGTCTACGTACCAGTGAACAAACGTTACCAAAGGGGATTGGTATGATCGGTTCCGGCCCTATAGTGGCCAAAGCCGATCCTCTTCTGGCAAGTTCGTCTGCTGCATCGTTGCCTCTGGATCCACTGTGTCCCTTTATCCATTGCAGGGTCACATTGTTGTTTTTACATACCTCATTTAATCGTTGATGGCATTCATATATTAGTCCCGAGTTCACCACATTGCATCTCAGGGCTTGGAGTACCGCCCTACTGTCGGTCAGTATTCTGATGGGGAAGTCATTAACCTTCCTAGCATCTATTGCTATGGCCGCTTGAATGATACCCATACATTCCGCCTGAAAGACCGTGTTATAGGTACCCAGCGGTGTGCATATGTGAATATTGAGGTCTTCAGAGAAAGCTCCACAACCTACACCTTCATTTGTTTTAGAACCATCGGTGAAAATTCTAAGCTCTTTTGGGCTTAATCCTTCCGGCTGGCTGTTTTCATTTAACTGTATCTTGTATTTCTTATCGAAAACAAATTGTTTAGGAATCCTATCGTATTTGGCTTGTAGGATAGGAATTTTTGAGTGAATTCTATCAATTATGCCTGTATGAGGGACACTATTCTTACTCCAAAGATTTAGGGTCTTGAGTCTGATGGCAGCTAAAGTCGCTTCTTGTTGTATATGTAGATGAAGCGGAGTTAGCTCCAGCATCGCTTCTAAGGCTGCTGTTGGCGTAGTTCTCATGCAGCCTGTAGCAGCCATACATGCCAGTCTCTGGTAGCGCTGAAGCTTTTTAATTATGGTGGCTTCATTTGTCTTGGTCCACCATACCAGAGCGCCGTATGTGATCATGGGCCGAATTACAGTTTTGTAAAGCCACAGTATGATTTTTGGCGTCAATCCCCATCTTTTGCCAATCATGTTTCTGCATTGCCAGAAAGTTATACTAGCTTTGTTGATTTTGTTTTCTATGTGTTTATTCCAGTTAAGTTTGCTGTCCAAGGTAAGACCTAAATATTTTACCTCAGAGGATAGCTGGAGTTTTGTGCTAAAAAGACTTGGAGGATGATAGTTATTCAGCTTTCGTTTTTGTGTGAACATAACTAAAACCGTTTTATTTGGATTGACAGTTAAGTCGTGTTCCCTGCACCATCTCTCCACTATACGGAGAGCCGCTTGGGTCAGGTCGCACACTATGCTTGCTGTCTTTCCAGAGACCAGTATTGTCAGGTCATCAGCATAACCTACTGTATAGAAGTGATTGTCATTTAATTTGCTGATGAGTTCATTAATGACCATATTCCACAGGAGAGGTGAGAGAACCCCACCCTGCGGGCAGCCTTTCTTAATTTGGATTGGTTGAGATTCACCAGCAATCTTTATTATTCGTGTACTGAGCATGTAAACTATCCAGTCGATCAGTGCCGGTTCAACTTTGTGTCTACCGAGTGCACCTTTTATGCTGGAGAAGTTCGTTCGGTCAAAAGCACCTTCTATATCTATGAAGGAACCTAGACATATTTCTTTGTTTTGGATGGCCTCTTCAATCTTTGTAATTACCTTATGAAGGGCCGATTCTGTTGATTTGCCTAGACTGTAGGCGTGTTGCTTGTCGTGTAGTGGTAAGTTCATTAGCGCCGACCCCCTTAATTCCCTTTCACACATCCTCTCCATCGTCTTTAGGAGAAAGGATGTGAGGCTAATGGGCCTGTAGGATTTAGGGTCAGTGTAGTCGCTCTTACCTGGTTTGGGTATGAATGTAACTTTCACTTCCCTCCATCCCCTAGGAACATATTTAAGAGCAAGACAGGCTCGCATTATGGCAGCAAGTCTGACTATTAGGGCTTTACCCCCCCACTGTAGGAGTGCCGGGAATATGCCGTCGGGTCCTGCCGCCTTATAGGGGAGGAAACTGTGAATGGCCCAATGGATTTTGTCCATCGTTACCACTCTCTGTGCTAAATTCCAGTCTTCTGCTGTTGATGTCAGTATGTCGTCATGCCGGTTTGCCTCCTGGGTTACGCAGCAACCTGGGAAGTGCGTTTCAATTAGGATGCGTTGGGCTTCATCCGGCGATGTTGAGTAGCTACCGTCGGGTTTCTTTAGAGACATGGATCCCGACGTGTTCTGTTTAGCTAGAATATTCCTAATCCTATTTGCTTGTTTGCAGGTTTCTATGTTGCCACAGAATTTACGCCACCCAATCGAGCGTCGATACCTGATACATTTTTTGTATTCAGACTTAGCTTTCTTATATAATAGCCAGTCTTCATCCATTGAGGTATTCATGGCCCTATTTAGAGCTTTTCTTACCTTCTTACGTTTTCTATCGAGTTCTTTACCCCACCACGGTTGTTTTACCTCGGCATGTCTTGGTGGAGTGATTTCTGGACATGATTCATGGTAGCTGTCTATCATGGCCTTAGTAACAGCTGCTACCTGTTCTTCTAGGAGCGACTGATCTGCTATAGTATTTATCCCCTCAAAATCCGCTAGCAAAGACGTCAGCCTATTTAGGTATTTAGTTTTATCTGTCTTGCGGGGATTTCTCCATGGTGGTGTAGAGGGGATATCGACCTGTAGTGCGAAGCAGATCCATCTATGGTCTGAGCATGAGGCCTCTCTCGACACATGCCATCCCGTAATTAGTTTGGCTGCTCCTTCTGTTGCAAGTGTGAGGTCGATTATAGTGCGACAGCGTTTGTTTATGAAAGTAGGTTCAGAACCTATGTTTAAAATGGTTAGGTTAGTACTAAATAAATATTCAACTAAAACTTTACCTCGTTCATTTGGTTTTTCCATTCCCCAAAGGGGATGATGTGCGTTGGAGTCCGTCCCGATCACAACCTCTAGTCCGGTCCTCTCGCAGAAGTTCACCAGCCTGCTGAGGTCATGAGGTGGAGGAGTGTCTTCCTCCGGCATGTAGACCGAGGCGACGACTAATCTACTCTCCTGTGTGTACTGTATTGCTACGGCATACATGTCTCTAGAACAGAAATCTGTTAAAGGTTGTGCACAGATATCTTTAGTAGTGTAAATACACGCTCTAGGCTTGTCGTGTTCAGGGCTGTAGAATAACTTACCTTTTAGGTTGTTTAGGCCTTTAATTTTACCAGCCCCAACCCATGGCTCCTGGATTAAGGCTATGGCAGTCCTTTGAACCTCCAACCACTTGCGTAATTGAGCCGACGCAGTTTCGCTGTGGTGGAGGTTGGCCTGCACTAGGCTAGTTTTGGACGAAGGGCACGCCATCATTGATCGCGTCCTCCCCGTCCCCGCCCAAAAATAGGCCTGCCAGCAGATCTCGGGTCTCATCGTCAGCCACCGAGTCGGAGGTGGTCGGCAAAATGCAGTCCTCCTCGTCACTCAGTGAGCTGCCGCTGAGCCCAATCTCCACTGGGGGCTTCGGCTCAATTGTGCAGGCCGTTTCTTCACTGGACTTGGCCTCCAGTGATTCCGCTGTACCGGTAACTATGGCTTCGGTATCCATAACTTCCGGGTTGTTTTCTACCTCTTTGCTCGGTGGAGTATCAAAGAATTTGCCTCCACGACCCTGGAATTTTACGTATACCGCCCCGCATACACATGCGAGACGGCGTCCGGCCTTCATCAGGGTCGGGATATGATCCTCCGGCACCGAAACAACGAGGAACCACCCGTCCGTCTGCTCATCTGCCTTGAGTAACAGCCAGTCCCTAATGTTAACCCAGCGGTTCTGGTACGCCAACACGCGACCAATGTCGCGTGAGTCTTTCCAGGCCCCCTGGGCATCAGGGATAAGGATACCACATTTGACTCTTTGTGGTATCTCTGACTGTTTCTTTATTGTGGAATTATATATTTTACAGTATTAAGTATATATGTGTACACCTACCGCAATATTTTATTATGACACAAGTTGAATGGCAGAGCATATTTGGCATCAAGTCCACTCTTTGTTACATTATTTATAAAGGTGTGAAATAAATGAAGCTCAATTTTTATTTACAGGGTAAAACCAAATGATAATATTGTCAATGGACAGTACAGAAAGGGGTTGCCGCATGTTATTTACTGTAGGCTGTGGCGATGGCCACAACTACAAGTAAGTAAATATATAAAATATTACTATTATTTTATAATAAAATGGATCTCTATATAAAGGACGCATGGATTTCACATATGGATAAAGTGAAGTTTAAACACACAAAGTAAGTAGTTGACTAGTTTTAAGCCACATGAGTTCAATCTTGTCACCTCAAGTGAAGTTATTATTGTAACCCATGTTTTCAAGAAAGGAAAATATTTTAAATATTTGTAAGCTCTGGAACCAGGATGGTAAATTGTTGGCTTTTTCGGCAAGCCATTTTTATAATATTAATGACAAACAAGCTACGCTAGTCGGAAATAAAAGACATGTTTTTGCTATTCTCCTTGCATGCTCCATTCACTACTTCACAATTACAAATAACTTACATTTTATTATAAAACTAAAGTAAAAAAATAAGTGGCTACTGCAGTCCATGGTCACCTGCAACTAACAAAAAACAAGGTAGGACCGTAGACCAATATAGAATGCCTCACAGCCTGTAACTATAGTGGCTCTCTATGTACTTTCAGACCAGAATACAGCTGTGTGAACACCTATTTGGCCAGCCCGAAAAGCAGTCCTATCATCTGTTACTTAAGTTAATCAGAGATTTTTTTTTTTAAATTTAAACATTCTTTAGTTTTTTCTTTCAGTTTTTACTTGTAAATTATTTTTTTCACAAACCTTTCTGTCCTATTTTAGAGTAAAGGATAATTACTTTTTCAGAGTCAACATGAACTAAAGCCAGTGGACCATTGTGCTTACGCTTACCAGTTGAAGAAAGACGAGGTCTGCATCAACCCTTACCACTACAATAAAATTGACTCTCCTGGTAAGAATAATATTTATGTGGCAATGTATAGATTGGTGATAGCTAAACAATTTAATTAATTGTAAGTGTAAGTCCTTTACACATTTATTTATACAAATCAATCCATGTGGCATACATAACACATTCTAAAACACTAACACAATCTCATCAACATCTCATCACAATCAAATCTCTTGTGTATGTCATGCAAATAAAAATAATAAATTGAGTATACAAAAATAAAAATTAGGTAGTGCATCAATTTGAATAGATAAATAATAGAGATGTACCATGTGAATTTATGAGAAATAAAGTCTGCTGTAATATATGAGAAATAAAAATTTTCAAGGCCATTTGAAGTTGCTAGGACGCGGCGGTCTGATTGTTCCAAAACCCTCACAAAAATTTGAGGTGATCAGCAGGTTTAGCCAAGTTGACTTTACAATTGTTAACACTGATAGAAAATTACAAAACTTAATTACTATCTTCATTTTTAAAGTGTCTGTGTCAATTGTGGATAGTCAACAGTGGTTAACCTTGCTGTGGTGATGAGGTGCGAGGCACATTTACTCCGTTTAATTCTTACAATTTATTTTATAAATGTTGCATTCACAATCTGTTAAGAATTAAAAATATGGCATGAGTGTAAGAAAAATTGAAATTGATTCAAAATTTGCTGTTGTCTGTAAAGTAGAATATGCTGAATATTTTTCTAAAAGCAAACTTCACTTGCAAATGGCGATGCATGAACCCTATAAACAAATGAGGACAAATTTCACGGATTGGTGATGGGTCGCATTATCAGTGCAAGGATATTTCTGCATTCACCAACACACCTGCCTTACATGTTGAGTATAGGCAAATTTTGCAAGTTATGTATGCCACTTGGTGCATTTTGAACAGATATAACTAGCAATGGATTTAAATCGACTATTATTCTTTGAATGTGGTAGAGCCCTGCTGCAGCTATATTACTGGTATAGTTGTAGCACAAATGGGTCGGCTCGACCGGGGAAGGACCACGCTCTCACAAAATACCGGCGTAGAATAGCAGCTTAATGCTGCTGTGTTTTGTATGGTGAGTGTAGAGAACCGGAGACCCTTTTTACTGGAATTGAGGCATTCCATCTTAGTCCTCACGGGTGACATTCATAATCGAGGATAGATGTAGATGTCTAGGAGCCACAGCAACCACTTTCCATCAGGTGGACTTTGTGTTGTTTGTCACCCTTATCCTATAAAAAAAAGGAATAACCCTCTTATTACAAACAAGAACATTCCACGTGATAAATGGAAGCCCTAGATGTCTACATCCATTCTCAAATGAAAATGAATTTGCATTGTACTCCTGATTCTATTTGAGGAATGCCTTGTAAAAAGTAAAAAGGTTTTTCGGCTGTCATCACTTATGACACGAAACTTAGCAGCTGTTGTTTCACGCTGGTATTCTGTGCACTTATTGAAGCCAAACCAACCCATTTGTGTCAACAAATCAAAATCCTTTATTTCGTGGATCATAGGCAATTCACAGGTGTGTCGGCTATAAATTATGACATAAAATATCATTGAATAATGACTATGCAATATCTTTCACATTATTAAATAATGACCATGAAATTTTCTATACAGCACTTACAATTTACATTTTTATGATATTACATAATATGATAAAAATTTAAATTGTTTTAAACATACAAATAGTGTACAACATAAAAAAAAACTTCAATATTTTTATTATATAAAATTATTATCGTTTTCGTAGCACTCCCTCCGATACTGGTGCCTCGCTGCGCGGAGGGCGAAGTCCGCGCGCCTCCGCCATACACCGACTATCACCAGCCACATCACGAGCATACCGACGCGTAAGTCTAGTGATTGTTGAAGCTTATACATGACATTATACCTATCTATATAAATAAAATGATACGAGTTTGCACTTGTGCGCGCATCACCGAAAAACTACTGGATAGATTTCAATTAGGTTTTCTAAGTTTTATTTCTTAGACACTTGGCCATTTTCTAAAAAAAAAAGCGATATCTTAATTTAATATAAAGTTATTAAAGTTTTAAGAAACAACTATTTTTATAAGCACTACGTGTTCACAGTGATGTGTTTTCTTTGTCAATATATCAAGCAACGAGGATGAAGTCGCGGGTATCAGCTACTATGGAATAATCATCGCAAAAATTACCATTATGTAAAAGACAATACCAGCTAGTGATGGAAAATGCAATTTCAATAAGTTGCAAAGTTAGAGTTAAGTACTGCAATTGTTAATTGCGATGACTACTCTTATTGTGCCTTGAATAACATTTTAGCCGTGGAAGGGAATGGGGGATCTCCCACCGGGCAAAGGAGTTGTTCTATATATAGCCCATTACTTCGGAACTTTGATAGCGTGATTTAGGCTTCGGTGTGTTTCGCTCTTATCGCGCCGTCAGCGCCGCCACAACATAATAATAAAAAATTAAAATTTTTAGTGTTCAAAGAGTTGTGTTTTGTCGGGCTAAGAAAAACCCATTTCGACTAGTGGTATATAGAATATGAAGTATGGGTATGGTAGTACCATAAATGCCTATGGAAAATAGAACGCCAGACGTAAAATACCCAGACAGCAGAATGACAGGTACGAAAAGTCTAGTCCTGCGATCGTTAAATCGGCAAATCTTACCTGCATTAGGAGAGCCTATGACTAGCCATGGGCTTCTACAGGTTGATGATGAAAATGAAACTGCTTATACATTTGTTAGATGCAAAATTCATTTATTATTTTGAATAACTAAGTGTGGCTTAAAATAGCAAATTTAATGTTCAGACTATTCTCACACGTGTTAGCCTTCTAATGGCGGGGTTAAGTAAGTTACTCTTACAGCGTCACTACACGGCAAATTATTATCTCATTCCATCCCATAGGTGTAGTAAGTGGCTACAGAGGGAAAATAAACAAGAGATGGGCAGCAGCATCTTCCTGATAACAACTTAAAGTAGGTTCGAAAACCCAAAAGTGCACGCCTCATGAGCGTTTCTTTAATTTTGATGAAAAAAATAAAAATGGTGTCGTTAGGGTAATTTTTACAAGAATAAAAAACAGAGAATCTGATCTTTCATTAATAAATTTTAAACAGTGTTGAGTTCAATAACAAAAATCAATAGGGATCCTCTTTAGAATATATGGAATTTTGCTCTCTATGCTTACATTTCTATTAAGCGAGAATACAGACCAACGGACGGCAGTCCATATATTTTTTCAATTATATTTTTTTTATCTCAAGTAAATGAATTAAAAAATAATCTTGTAATTCAATGTCTGTAGTTATTGTAAAGTTAATAATAATATGGATTTGATGTCTAGCTAAAAGTATAAGAACGATGTTATGTAGCAAAATTGAGGTATGGCCACATACCGAGAGAAGAGCACTCTCTCACGTTATGAGGTGTGCAATAGCATTGCAACTATCGAAGAGTGACTGATATCTGAACTTGAGACAATCATTACGGCAGGCCTATGTTCAGCAGTGGTCTTATGACAGAATAAATAAAATGAATTCTCACATTTCCATGCAGTGTACAGTGATGTTAGAAAAGAAGACGACGTTGAGTCTCGACCGATTAGCACTGATACTAACATGTATCGATGATTGCATGTAATTGTAACATGTCGAACACGAGTAGACAGATCTTAAGCTGGTATTTGGAAACAATCTCTAATTTAAGTCAAACTTCAATGTCAAAATATGTGTAATGTAACATTAGTAGTAGATCTACTAACTACTTCCTGATAATAATTTGCGTGTGGCGTATGACACGCGAGTCGTGTCTTTTTAAAAATCGTTATAACTCGCTCAAATTGCGTTTTTGGGAAATTTATCCAGAACAAAATATTCATTATTTTGCAAGTAGTTCATGCATGTGGCTTCGTTTTTGGATATTTTGAAAATTTGAAATTTTTAGGGGTTGACAAACTTTTTTTAACTTGTACATGGTACTCTTAACTTTGTGGGTTTTCAATCATGTTGTGGAAAAATAGTCTAATAAGTAACAAATAATAGCACTCATTGCGATCGCTCACAAACTCTAGTTGTAAGTTAAGTTAAGTTGTAAATAAATTTCTGGAAAATAAGTCTCCTGTTAAAAGAAAACTGCGTTTGTCTTATTGTTTAATTTTGCTTAAAATGGTTGAACTGCCGTCGTATTACTATCATATGGCCGAATAGACCTACGAAGTACCATGTGCTCTTGTGATATGGTATAAGGTTTATTTTTGCTTGATACAGTTTGAAACCATTCATGCATAAAAAGAGTTCGCTAATAAATAGTCTTTTGTGAATCTGCCGCCTTATAGCGTCGGCGTTTGTTTCCTTTTGAAAACATTTGTTTTGTTAGACGTTTTCGAATCGACTTTACTTTTACATTTGTATAACATTAAATAATATTAAAAATTTGTAAATATTAATGAATCATAAACCCTATTTTTTTCCAAATTAAGGTTCTTGATTGTTTGATATTTACAAATATTATTATTAGGTGAAAATTTAATTTAATAAAAACCAAGGTTTTCCAGGGTGATTTAGCTGTACCTACTTATTGTAATCTCTTCATAAAAAAAGTCACTCTCAATTTCAAAGAAAACACGTTTAAAAACACGTAGTTACCCACTAAAAACAAGTATCCTTCCATTTGTAACTTATGTTTGATGTCAAATAAACTAAATTAGGTCTAAACAAGTAAAAAAAGCATAAAAAAAGAATATTACTTTTACACATGGCTTATGGCACAATAGGCGTGTCATCAATGTCTGCGGAAATATTTGTTCGCCGCTACAGCTAGAAGTTGTCGAAAATCGGTGCCGCAACGAATCGGTTAATACACAAAATCAAAATCGCACCACTTTTACATATCAAAATCCACTTCAAACCATTATTTAAATAATAATACTGGAGCAACAAACCGCCGCCGGTCAAGTTCCCGCCAAAACCCTCTATTCTGTGCTACTAATTGACCATAGACTATTATGTGTTTGATAATTGACATTGCCAGTATTAACGTAAACTTGAGTTTGATTCTAGATTTTCCATGAACATGGTAGTTAATATAGCATAATGTGTGGCAGTGTGTCGCTCAGCGTAATGCAGAGCGGCGGCGTGGTGGGCGTGGGCGCGCACAGCGCGCTCTACCTGGAGGCCACGCTCGCGCAGCAGGTGCCCGGCAACACCACCGTGCACGTGTGAGTACACCACCACATCTTTTGCCCCACTTCAAAAAAAAGAAGAACTTCACAATTTGATCGTATGTTTTTTGTCAACTGTAAACCTATTTTATGATTTTTTTTTCATAATTTAGTGTTGGTTCTATAAATATGGAGAAAAAATTCCACCCTTCTAAGGGTGGAAAAATAGGGGATGAACTATTAATGTATCTATTGTAACATTAATAGTGTAACTAACTTTGGACGACATTCTAGTTGTTACCTTGAACTGATATTCCTTCATCATTATCCCCTAAGGAATGCCTCCTGAGCCACCTTCATCCATTGACTTCTTATTTAATATGCATGTATTCCTACTAATAATTTTAATTAGGTGACATTTTATACCTTCGTGATATTCCTTTCTCCTCTCAAAGATTTAAAAATTAAACTTTTAAAATAATAAATATTTTCCACATAATAGCTTATTAAGTCAGTGTTAACTATGTAAACTCATCTATACTATGTCTTAAGACCAACTTCAGAAGCTGTTGTGTGGAATTATTTTATTTTTTTAGTTCTTTGAAAGTCTGCTTTTACTTTTTGTTAAAAGGTTAAAATATTTGGTCCTTACGTAAGAAATTAGCGTTTTGTACAGGAGGAATATAAAGTCAATTTTTTTCTTGTAAAATATATTTAATTAATCAAAGTATGCACCATTGTTATCTATGCACTTTTGCCTTCTCATAGGTAGTTCATTGATCCCTTTACTAAAAAAAACCATGGGGGCGAGAATCAATAAACTCTTTGAAGGCGGTTTGGACTGCCGCATCGGAGTTGAATTTTTTTTTCCTTGTAAGAAGTTGTCCAAATTCCCGAAAAAATTGTAATCTGTTGGAGCAAGGTCCGGAGAGTACGGTGGATGTCACAGACATTCCAATTGTAGCTCATCCAGCTTAGTGGTTGTTTGTAGTGAAGTGTGTCGTCTTGCGTTGTCGTGAAGCAGCAGTGGCCTAGAGCGATTGATCATTTGATTCATTGATTGATTTAGCAGCTAGTTCTTCCTTCATGGTTTGCAGTTGCTGACACTAGATATCTGCCGTAATCGTTTGGCCAGATTTTAGAAAGCTATAGTGAAAGACACCGGCGCTAGTCTACCAAACACTCACAAGTAACATTTTCGTTTAGGGCAGGATTTGGCTGGGTCTCCAGGGTTCAGCTATTGCGACGAGTGCTCCCGGTTATCGTATAGTATCCACTTTTCATCACAAGTAATAATTCGTTATATTTACGCGAACACTACACATTTAAATAAAACTAATTTTACGGATTTTATCGCGTATATTAACTTATTTTACTTTCCCGACGTTTCAAGCACTTTACAGCACCCATGGGTGCTGTAAAGTGCTTGAAGAAGTAGAATAAGAAGTAAAATAAGTTAATATACGCGATAAAATCCGTAAAATTAGTTTTATTTAAAAGTAATAATTCGATTTAAAATCCCTTTAGTATTGTGTCGGTTGAGCAAAGGAACACAGCAGTCGACGCGTATTTGCAAGTTCGATTCACTCAATTCATGAGGTACCCATTGTTCAAGTTTTTATTTTCCCAATTTGCTGAAGCAAGTGATAAAACTGTATTAATCCACTTTCAAGTGGATTAATACAGTTTTATCACTTACCCCAAAGCCTGCAGCTATGTCTGAAGTGCTTTGTGATGGATCCAGTTCCACAATAGCCTTTAATTCTTCATTTTCCACTTTGGTCTCTGGCCGTCCACGGGGTTGGTTCTGAAGGTCGAAATTTCCAGAACGAAAATGTCGAAATCAAAAACTTACTGTGCTTTCTTTTGCTACATCAGCGCCGTAAACATCATTAATCTTTCGAGCTGTTTCTGCAGCACTGGTGCCACGGTATTACTCGTACTCTTAAATATACCGATATTTCATGTTTTCCATTGTGCGGTAATAAGCGACGCCAAAGAAAAAACTAATGAGGAAAAAACAAATGAATGACCAGCTAAATGAATTTATAAATTTGAATTTGGAATTCTTAACTAAAGAGGAGATATTTCAGATTAAAGTGGTCAGTACGATAAAACGCTCATTTCATATGTAAGGACCTAATATTTATTTTCATCCATCATATTGACCATTTAAATGTTAGTTGTATGTATAGCAAATTCCCCCTTAAATGCATCCATAGGCCTATGTTGCCCTATGGATGCACTTAAGTTAAATGTATAAAAATTATACTCTTAGTTTAGGTATTTTAATTATTAAAGTTGGGAAAATTTACTTTGCCCATATCCCCTCTACAATTATTGAGCAGAAATGGGCAAAGTAAATGTTCCGAACTAATATAATCAATTTCCGCAAAGTAACGCCTGATTCTATTAATTACATTTTAATTTATTTTTTAATTTGTACCCTTAGGAGCTCATCCTCTGTGGAGACCCCACCACCCGGCTATATGAGTGAAGACGGCGACCCAATGGATCACAATGACAACATGAGTGAGTTTGTAGTCCACTTTTGATTATTTTTGTTTATTCATTAACTGTATGGTTAATTTAATATTTGTCTCATTTTCATACATTTTTTTTAATGACTGTGAAAGTACAATGCTAGCCATCGCATGGATATATTGACATCCATATGAAGCCATGACATTTTTCTGGCATGTCTCTTAGTTGCCTCTTAACACACTTACGGGGCGAAATGCGGTGCAGTTTTTTTTTATAGGATAAGGGTGACAAACGAGCACACAGGCCACCTGATGGTAAGTGGATGCTGTTGCCCATAGACATCTAAATCTATTCTCAATTAAGAATCAAAATGCAGATGCGTTGTCACCCCTGAGGACTGAGATGGAATGCCTCATTTGCAGTTAAAAGGGGCTCCGGTTATCTACACTCACCATACAAAACACAACAGCATTAAGCTGCTATTTTACGCTGGTATTCTGTAAGAGCGTGGTCATACTCCGGATGAATCGACCTATTCGTGCTGCGACCACAATATAGCTGTAGCGTGGCTCTACCACGTTAAAATCTATATATAGTATAATACCGGCAATTCATAACAAAAACTGTGTCACAGCTGTGCAACTAGCACGGTTAATATGCCACACAGTTGTAATTTCAACCGACTTCAAAAAGGAGGAGGTTCTCAATTCGAGTGTATGTTTTTTTGGAACGAAGTTCCTTAAGCACGGTACGGATTTGACGGATGGGGGCTAGGCGAGGAAAAGTGTAAGATTTTTTCGTCACGACCCCCTTTCTATAGTGTGAGCGAGATGGAATAATATCCGTCTCCCTCGCACTTTTTATCTTGCCATGAATATTTCATTCATGGCAAGAATATTCATTATACAGTTATTCATTTATTCATCAATAATATAATACATTCATCAATAATAATATACTACGAAAGGAATTTGTTTCCAACCGTGTGTTACACGACACTCACGCATGTTTTTGATGTTACGCGATATAGACGCAGATTGTGAACCAATTTTGATTATTCTTTTTTTTAATTAAATAGATTATACTTCAAGGGTAGTCCCATATAAATTTGGAGAAATAATTCCACACCTAAGGGTAGCAAATAAATAAATAAAAAAAGTCGGAATTAACTTTTTGTTAAAAGTTAACATTATTATTTACGACAGTTACTGTTTTAGACAAATACGAAATAGCATCGTTTTCTTAGTAACATGAAACAAAATCAGTATTAGATTGTCGATAACAACGTCCTAGGTTTACAAAACAAAGCAGTAGTTTCACCTTGTGCGCAATGTATTAAGACCGCAGAGCCCGTTTAGTAGTATGAAATGGTATTGTCTAAAAGCACAGTGTTCTCCCCAGACCTGACACGACTGACGCCATCGCCGCCCGGTCTGGCCACCGAGGCGGCGCCCGTGCTGTACCACGAGCCGGCCTTCTGGTGCAGCATCAGCTACTATGAGCTCAACACGCGCGTGGGCGAGACCTTCCACGCTTCGCAGCCCTCCATTACCGTCGACGGCTTCACCGATCCGAGCAATAGCGAGAGGTTATGGAACATGCTACTCTACAATTAATTGTTAATGATGTCCATGGCGACAGCTTCGAAGTCTGGAGCTCACAACAGATTCCTTATCAGTCCCTAACACAGTCCACTATTGGACATGGGCTGCTCCAACTAAGAAGAAATAGCGATTGCACTACCAGATGTCATGCAGCTTTGACACTGATGGCATACCTCGTGTATGCCATCAGTGATTGTTATTTTTATATTTGATGATTATATTAGATATGCAGACCATCTATTAGAAGTCTTGAAGTTTTCTATAGTTGCCTCTTACGATTTTTTTTATATTCTACTAAGCCAGTGCTTATCTACGAACCCACCTGATTGTAAGTGGTGATGTAGCCTAAGGTGGTGAAGTGCACTGACTTAAGAAGGCCTATTCACTCTTGCCTTGAAGACACCCACATGTGACGATGCCCAAGAATTGCAATGGGATGGATACGACTAGACCATCACCCCTTGGTTCAGGACAGGACAGGATTATAGTGCAAGAGTGTTTACGCAAACACAGGTGCACTCGCATAGTTAGATGAGACAACAATCCGACGTGATCGGAGAGATATCAGTGCAGCATCTTTTTGTTTTAGCGGTTTTTTTTGAGTAAATTCATCTTATATGTACTTATAATAAAAAATTTATTGCAGATTCTGCTTGGGCCTGTTGTCAAATGTAAACAGAAACGAGGTAGTGGAACAAACGCGTCGGCATATTGGTAAAGGTGTCAGGCTATATTATATTGGAGGTAAGATACTGCATATCTTGATATATTTAAAAAGTCAGGTTTTTTATGATTTTTTTTTTTATAGAATTAGGGTGACAAACGAGCACACAGTCCACCTGATGGTAAGTGGTTACTGTGGCCCATAGACATCTACATCTATCTTCGTTTGCGAATTAAAATACAGATGCGTTGTCAGCTGTGAGGACTAAGATAGAATGCCTCTTTTCCAGTGAAATGGGTCTCCAGTTCTCTACACTCACCATACGAAACACAGCAGCATTAAGCTGCTATTTTACGCTGGTATTCTGTTAGGTGTGTCATATCATCCTATTGGTGTCCTCTTAGGACAGATGATATGGAGTAATAGATTATTGTACAAATAGTTTACAATAACATAATATAACACAAAGTCTATAATAACACTAACAATCTGCAATGGCTTCGTAGAGGTGATTTCTGGATCTCGGCAACAGCACCACTTACTGGGTCCAACTATAGCTAAGAACTATCCAGGTGTCTTTATGAGTACCCCATAAAATTTCATTAAAATGGGTCTAGTCATTTATGAAGAGAAGAGTTACGAACAACGCACACCGGAATTTTATGACATAACATATGAGTTCAATCTTAATTTCAAGTACTGATCTACCACATGCACCACTGAGGAAGTAAAGTAGAGCAAGGGAACTAAATATCATACAAATATCGGTATTTTCAGGTGAGGTGTTTGCAGAGTGTCTGAGCGACTCGTCAATATTCGTGCAAAGTCCCAATTGCAACCAGCGTTATGGATGGCACCCCGCCACTGTTTGCAAAATACCTCCAGGTAAGGTTTACTCTTATTAATGACATAGGAAAATACATGGACAAACTTGTGACCTTCGATAGATGGAGGTGTAAACTAGTAAACAGGAGTAAAAGACCATTAAAACGGTCGACAATAATACCTAAGACATTTTATTTTATCTCCTCACTAGGATTCTCTCATTATATCATAGGGACGTTATACACACAAAAATTGAACTTTAAAAAAACATCTACTATACAAGAAACAATTATAGTTGTAATTCATACAAACTTCTGCAGCAACATAACTGAACTTAGTTCTTACCAGCAGCGTTGCAGTTGAATTCCTTAACCGGCAGTGCTGCATGTTTTTCTTACCCACAGCTAGTGTATTTAAACATAGTTCTTACCCAAAGTGCAACAGCTAAAATTAATTGGTTTTTTTTTTCTTTGCGAGCAGCTTTGCAGGTCTAGAAAGACCAGTGTCTGAAATATTTCAAGTATCATCATACGAACCTTACTGTCATGAAGGAAATATGCTGGTATTAAAACTTAAAAATGATATTTCAATTTAGTGTACATATCATCCACCATGTTTTCAGAATCCGACTAAGTACCTCCAGTCAATTAGTGAGATTATATCTAGTCTCAATTGTACTGATATAATTTTTACAGGTGATGTAAATTATATATAATGCCAGAAAAGTTGACAAGTGATTCTGCGGACTATGTTAATATGATGGCTATATAATTATGGCCTCAAACAATGTAGATTTACCAACTAGAAAGAAAACGTGTCTAGACCATGTTTTGGCCAAAACAACTTTGTTCAAACTATTGTATATGTAGAATTTACAGATCACTCACCGATACTATCAGTTATGGAATAAATTGAAAAAAATAAAACTGTGATCTTACACAAAAGAAAATTTAGATTTTAAGAAAATAAATGTGGATATTGAGATAGTTTTTTATTAAACTATTGATATCAATAAAGCTACAGATATATTGTTTTCTTCTTTACAAGACATAATTGAGAGAAATACTATTTACTCAAAAATTGCTAACAGGAATTAACCATCAAAACCCTGGATTACACCAGGTGTTGTTAAAGCAATAAGAAAGCGTGACAGAATGCATAAAAACTACGAATTTCATCCTACAATATATAAACTTAAAAAATGAATATGTTAAGTATAGAAATATATGCATTATCGAAATACTTTCGAAATGAACTTGAAATAAATAAAGGTAAAACAAAAAAAACTTGGTAAATAATTAAGAAAATTTGTCACCTCGCTCATTGGAAATCTTGCTCATCGGAAATCTTGCTCGTCGGAACTTACTGATATCGAAGCCACTCCAGTAGATTCATTAAACCAAATTAACAAGTTTTCATCTCCGTAGGCACTACTTTAGCATCACACACTAACCACTACTAAAAATAGTAGTGCAATTTTTTTTTAGCTCTTACAATCACTTTCACGCGTTAACGATTCTACTTCACAAATTATAACATACACAAAACACTTACATACACAAAAACACATACATGCACCCACACATTTGTCATATTACTTAGACATTATCACATATTATACATTTTTTTTAATATTAAATTTTTTTATGTCTTTAATTTATTAATTTAATAATTTTTTAAACTGTTTATTTTGTTAATTTTAAATAAAATACTTACTTATCTTCACGCACAATCCCTGACGGGGTAGCCAGAGAGAACAGATCGCCAAGTGTCACGATCTTTACCTCTTTCGCTTCTTTCAGATTCATTATCTTCTTCATACATTTGACCCTCCCCTCTTTGAGCAATTTGCTCACATGGTCTTCGAAAGTTAGTCTCGGTCTACCTCGACACCTTTTAATATTAACTTTCGCGCTATATATTTTCTTCACCATTCGGTCTTCACTCATTCGCTCAACGTGCCCAAACCACCGAAGCACGCCCTTATCAATTTTTGTGATAAGGTCATCTTTCAAACCTGCCATATTGCGAATCTCTTTGTTTCGCTTTCGGTCGGCCATGGTAACGCCGCACATTTTACGAAGAGATCGCATCTCCACTGCATTCAACTTACTTTTATGCTTCTTCTGGCATACCCAGGTTTCGCTGCCATACGAGGGGGCGGCACTGAAAATTTCGGGAATCAAGGAAGTGACACAACATTACTATTTAAAAATGTATTTATTGCTTTTCGAAGTATTCTCCGCGAAATTTGACACATTTTCCATACGATGGAACCAATCATTGAAGCAACCATTCCATTCGGAAGTTGGGGTCTCCAAAATGGCTGACAAGACCGAGAATCTTTTTTTTAAATAAATAAATGGTATTCGATTTTTAATACCAAGGACTTTTCAATAAAAAAAAATTAATATGACAGGAACAGTGGAAATATTCCATTCCCGATACTTTTAGTGCAGCCCTCGTATAACAAAGTCGGTACCAACACTGCGTTATGTATTGCAAGGCGTGCACTCTTCACTACGCCTTGCTTTTGACTAACGCAGTCAGGGCACCATTGACTTTGTTCCCGGCAGTTACACGCCTGTCCACTAAATCACATTCACTGTCTAAATCACATCTTCCATCCTGGCTGAAAGCACTCCCCAAGTATACAATTTCATTTACCTGTTCTAGACATTCCTGTTTACCCATATTTCACACTTCTTTCTCTTTTCGTCCCTTTCAAATACCAGAACCTTAGTTTTATTAGCATTCAAACGGAGACCTTTAATTTCACATTCCTCTTTCATACACGTGACTAATGCCTTCAGTTCTGCCTCTGATGGTGCAATAAGCACTGCATCATCAGCATACAGCAGACAGTTTACTTTAATGTCACCCAATTTCACACCCAAACAGCTATCTTTCAGCTTCTGTAAACAGCTGTCGAGATACAGCATGAACAGCCAGGAAGACATGACACAACCCTGTTTTACGCCCGTTTGGACGCTAAACATGGGTGACAGGTCATGCCCTACCCGCACACAGGCTTTACAGTCACAGTAAAGTGACTGCACAGCCCTTAGCAATCGACCATCCACACCATACCCCGGCAACAGTTCCCACATTTTCTTCCTTACAACCTTATCAAATGCTTTCTCAAGATCCACAAAAGCACAGAAAATCTTTTGGTTAGCAGCCAGAAGCTTCACTGTGATCATGCGGAGAGAAAACATTTGATCCGTGCATCCTCTTCCAGGTCTAAATCCGCTGCCTCCCATAGAAATCTTTCCGATTTCTCTTGAATCCTACGAGTCAAAACCTTCGAGTAAACTTTACTTGCTAAACTGGTCAAGCTGATCGCCCGATAGCACCCGCAGTCAAAATGTGAACCTTTATATAAAGGCACAATGACTGCAATCGCCAATCATCCGGGACATCCCCCGTCCGCCAGCACAAATTGCACAGCTGATGAAAGCTGTCCCAGACGCGAGGCCCACCATACTTGACCATTTCAGCAGTAGCTCTGTCTAGTCCCGCAGCCTTACCACATTTCAAACTTCGAATCGCACGTTCAATCTCTTTCATACTGATAACCTCAGTGTCATCGAGGTCCGGGTCTGGCGTACCAGTCACGGCGTCACCCCCGGATCCCTCACTAAGATCATCACACGCATACATTTCTCTATAAAATTCGCTTCATCGCTGCATGACGTCCGATTTTTCTGAGAGGACGTCATTGGTTCTAGAAACCACTTTGTTCATTCTTAAGGCCGTCGCACCACTTCGGGTCCTTCCAAACTCTTTCCAGAAGAGTTTGGATTTCTCCTTAAAGTTGTGCGACAACCTTTCGTCCGGTTCCATTCTACACCTTTCACGCACTTCCTCAATCAATGTTTTCGTATGAACTTTCTGCAGCTTATATCTTTCTTTCATCTTCCTCTCTCATATCCTTATCATTACTACAGGGCAAGTAGTCTAAGCATGCTTTCTTCTTCTTCTTTACAGCTTCTTTCACTTCATCATTCCACCATGCATCTCTTCTTTTACTACTACCTCTTTTTATCGTTCCACACACTTCTTCCGCTGCACTTACCATTCCATCCCTAAGGTTCTGCCATGTTCTTTCCACATATTCTTTTCTGCCATCGATGGTGTCAAGCTTTTCGGCTACCCTCGCATGATATTTGTCCCTAGTATCTGCTTCCTGAAGCTTCCAGTTTCGGATGCGACAGACCGACTGTGGTTCTGTCCTTGCCGTCCGGTAGCGCCAACCCGCGAACAGACCCCTAAATCTAGTAATCACTAGATAGTGATCCGTTCCCAGGTCCCAGGCACCCCTGAACACTCGCGTATCCATCACCTGTTTTCGCAGTCGGTCCAATCCACCAGGAACAAATCGATCATACTTGTCTCATTCTTTCTTTCTCTAGTATACATATGGATTTTCTTGTGATTAAACGTAGTATTTGTCACAAGAAGACCCTTTTCCTTGCATACAGCCAGTATAAGCTTGCCAGCATCATTAACCCTTTTATCGCCAAACTTTCCAAGAATAGAATAGAATAGAATAGAATATTTTTTTATTCAATATACATTACATGTGTAATTCTTATTGAAAGTCATTTTTTACTTTACCACTGGTTCGAAAAAAACCCTCTGTCCTGGGAAGAACCAGCAAGAAACCCAGCGGGACTTTTTTTTTAAATAATTTTACAATATAAATGATTACGAACTATTTACAAAATTTATTTTAGAAACTGCTTGGAAGCGATCACCTCATTCCCAGGGGTTATTATCAACCATGTATTCATTTATACTATAATAACCCTTTTTATACAGTTTCAGCTTAATAAAACATTTAAACTTGGTAATAGAGAGAACCTGTACACTTTCCGGGACCTTGTTGTAATAGCGTATACATTGCCCCAAGAATGAATTACTGACTCTGTGGAGTCGAGAAACTGGTATCACTAGCTTGTGTTTGTTCCTAGTGTTTACAGAATGTATATCACTTCTTTTACTAAAACTATCTTTGTTTTTGTGAACATACATTAAATTTTCGTAAATATACTGAGAGGCCAAAGTTAATATATTAATTTCTTTAAATTTATCTCTAAGAGACTCTCTTGGTTTTAGATTGTAAATAGCTCTAATGGCCCTCTTCTGTAAAACGAAAATAGTTTCTGAATGAGCCGCATTTCCCCATAGTAAAATCCCATAAGACATTATGCTATGAAAATAACTAAAATAAACTAATCTAGCTGTCTCGACACTAGTGAGACCTCTAATCTTTTTTACAGCATAGGCTGCAGAACTTAGTCTGCTTGCTAATTTGGATATATGGGGGCCCCACTGGAGCTTTGCGTCAAGAGTGATGCCAAGAAAAACAGTGGATACAACAGGGCTCAATTCCTCCCCATTTAAAAACACATTGGTATTCAGATTTTGAACATTCGTTGTTGTAAATTTAACACAATTAGTTTTATTTCCGTTCAAATGCAGATTATTAACGTTAAACCAATGCACTAATTTTGATATAGCATTATTCACTTCGTCACATTTAAATGATTGACGTCTAAGTTTAAAAATCAAAGAAGTATCATCAGCAAATAATACTATATCATGACTATCCCCTACAAGGTGAGGTAAGTCATTAATATACACCAGAAACAGGAATGGGCCGAGAATCGAGCCCTGAGGTACACCCATTAGTACAGGTGACCCGGAAGAACTTTTACCATTGATAATACCAAGCACAGACTCGTACCCTGGTCGAGTGGTACCAACCCATCCATTCAAATCACCACATACAACAATTCTTTCGTTTCCATTAACCAAATCTAGAACTTCTCTTACATTCTCCCAAAACTCCTCCAGCTCAGCCCTGGACGACGAAGCTACCGACGCATAAACAGCCAAAAGGAATAACTTCGTCAGTCCCAATTTAAAGCGAACCCAGAGAAGTCTTGAGTTCACAATTTTATATTTAGTCATACCATCGACCAACCGAGATGACAGCAGCACCCCCACTCCTTGGCAGGCGCTCTGGCTCTCCGGGACTCCGGACCATAGAGCTAACGTCCCGCCAGGGAGCTCTTCAGTACCACTGCCCTTCCGTTTGGTCTCCGATATACACACGACATCTAATTCTCTTTCTTTCATTATTTCGATCAGCTCATTCGTCTTATCTCTCGTGCCTCCTCTAACATTCCACGTGCCAACTTTGCACTCTGTCCTCCACCTTCCGCCGTGTCGGGCCTGCGTGACGGGTGGCGGTCCCCATCGCCGCATTCCACACCAACGGGGACGAGTTGGTGTGCGTCGCCTTGGTGGGACGCCCTAACCCTCGTCGGCATGGGTGCGCAGCTGTGTAGAATTGCAGCCCTGAAAAGGGCTGGCAGGGGTCGCGACGAGCACGCTTCTACAATGACCCCCGAAAATAAAGCAGAATATAATTAAGTATAATTGAATTGAAATTTATAATTAATGTTAATATTGTTTGTGCATAATGTATGAAAGGGACTAGCTCCTGACACATACAGGATTTCTAGTTCAGGAGCTAGAGCTCATTCGGAACAAATGTAACATTTGAGTTCTAATAAATTATTAAAGTTCACTGCTAAGCCCTATGACTTCAATTAATTGAAGCAGTTGCTTAGCTGTGAGCAATTTCACTTTTTTGGGCGGAGCACATAGTTTCCTCGATGAGTGTTACATTAAATGTATATATATATATACTCGCGATACCATAGCTAAACTTACCTGCAGAGCGTATAATTACACATATTAGCCGCAGCGCTGTAACTTAGTTCTTACACACGGCGCTGCTTGCTATCGAGCCGCCTTTACAGCTGCCATTTACATTTGTTTATCTAAAATAATAATAAATTTATTATTACCAAATAATAATAAATTTGTTATTATTAAAATATATTTTATTCAAGAATATCAATCATGGGGTATTTGATATATTTAATTCACGTTTTAGGATGCAACTTAAAAATCTTCAATAACCAAGAGTTTGCCGCGTTGTTGTCGCAGTCAGTATCTCAAGGGTTCGAGGCGGTGTTCCAGCTGACGCGCATGTGCACTATAAGGATGAGTTTTGTTAAAGGATGGGGAGCTGAATATAGGTACGTAACATAAATTGTTATTATTATGTAATGTCGTCATGATTGTTTATCGTTACCATTACAGCCTATTAAAGTCCCCACTGCTGAACATAGGCTGGTTCCATAGACTGCCTCATTGGGTTTGATATTTGCCATAGTTGCCACGCTTGGCAAGTAGATTTGTAACCGCCGTTTATTTTTTTATTTTTAGTTGTTATTAGGAAGACGTTGCTGCCCATATCCTGATTTGTTTCCCTGTGTCGCCTCTTACGACACCCACGGGATGATACTATGTGATAGTGGATATTCTTACACCGCCACTACACTGTACGCCGTGATTGTTTAGTGGATAGTAAATACATAAATAAAAAGAAATAACACGAATGTCTCATTTAAAAAAAATATATTTATAATGGCAAAATAATCTAAATATCTAAATAATATGAATATATCTTCTAAGGAGTTATCAGATTCATTTTGTATTTTTTCATTTATTTAATCACAACAAAGTACATATAAACACAGTTAACTCTGGGTCTTAAACTAAGCGCATCTTGTATCTCAGGACCCTGGCGTGCGAAATTACGAAATGATTTGTCACATTTACATAAACAAGTATATAAGTGTAGTAACTATTACGTAAACATGTTTGGCATTGAAAAAAAAATATGTAATATCACAGGATAAATAATAGTACAAGAACAGAAGGATCACTCTCTGATAGCAAAATTGCGAGTTTAAACCTAGTTACAACATTGCTAATGTTCATAATACTTTGCATGCCTCTATGACCTTGGTTAAAATAGCAAAACAAATTGAATGCTTTGATATTAGTTTGTAGTAAAATACACCGAAGTGTTATGTAATGTATTAGTAATTTGCTGATAAGAACATTATTGTTCAATGTGAGGAAGGTTAATAAGCAATATCGAGAACAATTAAGATTATAACAACGTGAACGTCTTTGAAACTCGGATAATTTATCTACTTACCATTTTAACCGACTTCAAAAAATGAGGAGGTAATAAATTCAATTGTATTTTTTGTTACCTCAGAACTTTTTTCTAGTCTAGGTGAACCGATTTTGATGATTCTTTTTTATTTGAAAGCTGGTGCTTATAATTTATATATCCCATATAAATTTGATCAAGATCTGACCAGTAGTTATGGAGTTATGCTTAATAATGCGTATTATAAATATTGAAGTCGGTTGTACAAATTTTTTAATTTCATTATTTGTGTCTCTTCCTCTATTTTTAAAAAACGTTATCTCCATACTAGAATTTTCTCCTATATTGCGGGGGCAGTTTACATACACAAATTTCACAAGGACAAACATCCAGACCCAGAACAATTATTTGTAGGCCATACAAATACTTGTTCCGTGCGAGATGCAGACCCCGCGGCCCTTAGTGCTGCAACTCATTGCTAAGTCACTGCGCCACGGAGCCGTCAATTGTCTGTTTCAAATATTTTGTTATTTACAAACATGCGCCATTATTAATGAACGCGACGCCATTATTAATTAAGGGTGGCAATGAGAAGAGCTGCTATTTTTAATTTCTTTCTTTTATCGACCAAGCGTTAAATTAATAACCAGTATATGCTGATCTTGCATTCTAAGTCTACTTACACTGAAAGAAGTTAAGCTCCTTGGCATTATACGCGAAAAAGTCGAAAACTGCAAAACTGTGGTCGGGTCGCTAATCAAATATTTAATCTGTAACTATAGCATCAGTAACTAGGTTATCTAGATCTATAAATAATAATATCTTACCTTTGGTATCCTTAAGAACAGCAGTAAAGAATGAAAAGTCGACATTCCTATTGTTATTTTAGCGCCCGCATGCTATGCAGCACATTTTGGTTTTTTGAGAGGCCATACTTGAATTAAAACTCAAAAATAAATATCAAAAGTGCCTAAATACTTATAAGAGAAAAATACTTTTAACGTAAGGCGCGCGTCAGCTGGAGCGCACGCGTGACCTATGTACCTCTATAAACCTCACAGAATTAAACCAATGTAGGCGGCAGCTCAGTGTAGGTATATTTTCATGCCTAAAGCACGGAGTGAGACAGGCCTGGTATTATGATTTACTTCCAAAAACAAAAATGTACAAAAAAGTAAGTTAAAATTTTCGGTTTATGACTTCATCAAATGAGAAGGAAACGTCTCCATGTATTCTCGGGCCCAGATGTTAACAAGATGAAAGCCGAACACAAAGCTTATATTATGTAAACAATTCATACCTGGAAAATCTAGCAAGATTTGTCAATCTAGAAGCTGAGTTTTTGTAGAATAAGTGAAAGTGATTTTATGTATTACCTACACTATAACATGTTATTTTTCACTGTAATTACACTGTAACAGGTTATTTTTCACTATAATTACTTAAATATATATAAGCAGGATCAGTATAAAATTATGAAAGAAAAGCTGTGGTTATTTAAGAAAAAAAATGGTGAAATAATTAATGAAAGTTAAAAAAACAAGAACTAATTGAAGTGTTTGATTGTTAATATTTTGTATTTTTATTATTATTTTAGAGATATGTTCTCAATTTTTTTATCGCCCTAGTTAACACAGAAAAATAATCGAAAATAGATATTGAAATGCCGAATTTAATCGAGAATTATATTGCCCTCGTTTCAAATCGATTATATATATATTGTCGTCGTTTCAAATCGATTATATATATTGTCCTCGTTTCAAATCGATTATATACGAGGGTGGATTGAAAAGTACTCGGCCTAACCAAGAAAATAAACAAATACTAAATCAGTTATATTTTTATTTTTCTACATAATCACCATCAAGTTCAATACACTTTTGCCACCTCCCCTTCCAAGCATTTAGACCGTTGAAAAAAAATGATTCTTCCTTAGAGTCAAAATATGCGTCTACAGCTGCTTTGACCTCGTCGTTTGTCGAAAATCTTTGACCTCCCAAGTGCTTTTTTAGGTTAGGGAACAGAAAGAAGTCTAATGGTGCCAGATCAGGTGAATACGGCGGATGCGGTAACAGTTCAATTCAAAGCCACAGTTGTGAATTTCAGCCATTGACTGTACTGACGTGTGAACACGGGCGTTATCTTGATGAAACAGGACTTTTCTTCTGAGCATTCCTCGACGTTTTTCTTTTATTTCCTCTCGTAAACGACGTAGTAAGGTGCAGTAGTAATCAGAGTTTATATTCTGACCCCTTTCAAGATAATCAATCATAATCACACCTTTCGAGTCCCAGAATACTGAAGCCATCACCTTATTTGCCGACAAAATCGACTTAGCCTTTTTAGGGGGTGGTGAACCAGGTCTTCTCCACTGTTTTGATTGTTGTTTTGTTTCCGGTGTACAGTAATGAACCCATGTTTCGTCCATAGTAACAAAACGATTCAAAAAATCATCTGCATCGGCTTCAAATAACTCTAAACAGTCGCGTGAAATAGTCAATCGCGTCCTTTTTTGTTCAACTGAAAGCAGTCGCGGAACCCACCTCGCAGACACCTTGTGGAAACCCAACTCGTTGACAATGATGTTTTGAGTTCGTTCATAAGAGATGCCTATAATCTCGGCTATCTCTCTAATTTTTAATCTGCGGTCTCCCATTATTAAATCAAGTATTTTTTTAATATTTTCGTCAGTAGTTGACGTCGAAGGCCTTCCAGAGCGGGGTTCATCTTTCACACTCTCTCTACCACGCTTAAATTCTGCTATCCATTTTTTGACGGATGAATATGACAGAGCACAATCGCCTAATGTACTGACCATGTCATCATGGATGGCTTTTGATGATAGCCCCTTCTTATGGAGGTACTTAATGACGGCACGCTGCTCGATTTGCTCCATTCGCGGAAATTATGTCCGATTACTTTGTTAATAAATTTATAAAATCACAACTAATTATCGCACACGTTTCGAACTTCACACAATGAACTAGTCTGAACTGAACTAAATAATGTGGGTAGATTTGATTTTTAAAATTGAATGGATCTGTGTTAGGCCGAGTACTTTTCAATCCACCCTCGTATATTGTCCTCGTTTCAAATCGAATCGAAAATCGGTCTTTTTCTTTTAAGTGAATAGTTTTGAAGTTTGAACTGTCAAGTTCCATAGTGACTTTTTTGTTTAATTTTAATTATTTTTGTTTTAATTGTTTGGATTCGAATAAATATAAAATTAATTGCATCAATACAATCGATTTTCTAACTTATTTCTTATTTTATTGTTTTTCGAAAACTAGATTGTAAAAAGAGCTAGTTTTTTTATATTTAACTTTAGAAAAATATAGCCATTTTTTAAAGCATAAACCAGTTGGTTAACTAATAACTTAAAAAACGGACAAAAGACCAAAAATCCCATTCTCCTTTTTTCTTATTGGCATTTCTTTTTGTGGTGCGTGGTAAGAGAGCGATGACATAAGAGAATATAAAGCACGCCCGGTGTCGTAAGAGGCGAATACGGGAACGACATTCCCGGTGGATCCCATGACTTTCGATTGATGACGGTATATTCTATTGTAAAATTTTCATCCCAACTACTTCATTCGTAACCAATTTCATTATATTTCACAGACGGCAAACAGTGACCTCGACCCCGTGCTGGATTGAATTGCACCTAAATGGGCCTTTGCAGTGGCTGGACCGAGTACTCACGCAGATGGGCAGTCCTCGTCTGCCCTGCTCTTCTATGTCTTAGGTACGTTAACGTAGGTCTCATTGCTGAATACCCATGTCATTGTACTTCTAAAAAGGCTATTATGGAACGGGAAAAAGTCGCATGTCAACGCTCTATTGCAAGTAAGCAGATGCATATTTTCTCCCCCAAATATATCACCCCATTTCATCCAGTGAGTATCGAGAGAGGCGACTATTTTATAGAATAAAATCAAAAAAAGATCTTAGGGCTTCCGACAGATGGCGGTTTAATCATCTGTCTATGTCAGGTGTAAAATATGTACTGCTGATGGGGTACAGACGTCTGGTGATGCGATCTTCAATCCGCCAGCCAAGCGTGACGATCGGAAATCCTGTGTAAGGCAAGGATTTCGTACATTTTAGTGCTCTCTACTCCGCTACATGCATATTTATCCAGTTCAAGTTCATGCCACCGAATTTTCCTACATTCGGTGGCATGAACAACAAAGATTTCCCGATTATTAAAATATTTTTTTTTTCAACTATAATAATATAAAGTATTTTAAAAACCCATTCGATTAAGAATTTAATTGAGTATTTCATGTATGCCCATATTTTTTTTTCGAGCATATACTATTTCAAAAAGTATTCAACTCTCCAGTGTCAAAATCATGTCTAAAGTACGATATTTTTGTCAAACCTTGCCTTAAAACGAAGCTTTCGTTTTTGTTTAAGAAGGACACAATATTTAAAACTAACGTCCAGTATGTTTCTATTTTCAGATATTTGTGGAGTAAAGTTTATAAGAGTTGTATGGACAGCAAATTAAGGGTAGCTCAAAAAACAAATACCTCCAACATGAGTCTTAATAACATTTTTATTATAGTTTGTAGTGGTGAATTTACATTGGCAACACTGATTTATATTTTAAAAACCCTTTTAGTGTGTAAGTTGCAAATATTTTCATTTCAATGAATCGTATTTAGATTATTGATTGCATTGATCTATTTATTCAAGTAATTTTATATTTGGACAAAATATTGTATAGAACCTTTTTAAAAGCTTTATGTCAATCCATATCTTCTGGTTGAGGCGTACTACACACATATTCAGGGCGGCATTATTGGGCACAACCGCGGGTGTCAGTATCGAATATTTGTCGTTTAAGGTTCGACCAATGTTTGGTTGGCCTGCCTGCTTATAAAACTCGCTCCGGTCGACACAGCCGGGTGATGAGAATCGATTGTCATTTCACATTGTAAATACAAGTAATCGCCAGCACAATTTCCAGAATATACCAAACAGTGCCCAGCTAATCCGAATGTGTCGATAAGAGAAAGATGCGTGCCGACCGCAATCCATATAGCTCGTCTTATTAAGCTGAATTAGCTTGATTTAAAATCCATACTTTTTGAAGTGAGTTAAACCGCGTGTGAATTATTTTTTACAGTAAACTTGTTTTCTAGTCTATGACAAACATTTTGTATAAAAGCCACAGACATATAATAGAGTAGCAGACCAAACATTAATCCATAGTTATATCTATAGAGATGGCATGATTCTTTATCCTTTTTTGCTAAGTCGTAAACAGTATCTCGTTCTGACATAAATTTGACGGGTAGCTTGTCCATTCCGCACCGCCATATTTTAACTATATTGAAACAAACCGTATATTTATTGAAAATCCGTAAAGTTCGATATTCTCTGGCTATAAAAAGTGTAGATTACTTATCAATAAAGTGTTAACGAATAAAACAACCCATCTATTCCCGTGGCTATTGTAAAAGGCGACTAAAGGAGTATTTTAAGAAGACGATGGACAGCAGTCAACTCTCCTCCTTTTGACGTTTTTTTTGTGTAATGACAAAACTAAACTACAACCATAATCTATGTGCGTAATGGCTACACAATCTTTAGCGAATGTTTGGTCTGCTACTCTATTATATGTCTGTGATTAAAGCTAAGGCTGAATAATCTTCCAATTACAATATTGACATGTCCTGGTACTTTTAACTATAGTGTATTTAAAATATTTACACAAGTACACAAGAATTTCTGAACGACGCTTTTTACTAGTAACGGGGATTATTTTATAGTATTTAAATAACAACATACATATTTGTAATATTTTTTCGACATGTACAGGTAGACCATACATTGAAATAGCTTAGCTTCATAGTGTAACCATATTTTGAACAATTTTAATACTCATATATTTGTTAGAAAGTGTTTGTCGAGGCTTTTGTAATATAAACACAAACATTTAAATCATGCAGTGTAATTTTACACTATTGATTGGATGTTGTAGCCCCATGGTTTAATCAGTCTGTTGACTGAACGACTAGCCCATTCTGATTACACAGCATACAGCCATGAGCTCAAAATTTTTATGCACCTCAAATGCAATCCACACATATATTTTTGTATATGATACAGTACTTTTCGAATAATATGTTTCATTCCCATCTTTAACAAATTCTAAAAAAAACACGACAATTTTCAATGCTCCCCTATTAATATACTTTTAGTGTTGGATTAATGGACTAGCCCTCAATTACCCATCTGATTAAACCACTGCAACATAATAATACACTAACATTGCAGTTTATTTTTACACACAATATGTACATAACACTAATTAATCTATTGTTTTGTTTCTTTTTTAATTGATATGGATATGCCATCATTTAAGCATTTACAGTTATCTATAGATTCGTTAACAGTCACTATAATTATTAGATTTTGACATTGTATGTTTTATATAGTTTTTAATGAGTACATTTAAATAAATTTATAATTCAATGTTTTGTTTCATCACGCTGGTTATTTATATAATTATAAAAATAACCATGTTTTAGAATAAGTGACTATATGTAGGGTTGCAAAGTTATGCCAAAATTAAAATATCTGCCACGAATAGGGAACTCTTATTATGTGAACAGTATTTACTCATGAAAAGGTAAATTTACTTCATTAAAATTAGTGCAATAAATTTTTATAGCTAAGATATTTCATAATGTAGAGATTTTATTGCTAGCAACCCTACTTATATCTGTTACTTGTTGGATTGCACCTTTTTGATAAACAGGAATGAATGACCATGTAAGTGGAAATGTGTTTTATCTCTATTCGTAAGTAATACTATATCCAAATTTAGAATTGGCTACAAATTAAATTGTATCGTCGTTGCCTAGGGCCGTGGAAGGGAACATTTTTTCCATTAATATTTATAATTATATGTTGGTATGTTTTCAATGTGAAGTGTACAAAATCTCAATAACAAATTGCTTGAAAATAACTTAATGTTGTTTGCAGCTTAATAATGTATATAATTTCATAGTCATTATTAAGTATAAAAATATTCTACTTGTGAGTTTCTTGCCCCTCATCATAACGTCTATCCGCAGTGAAGCGATGGGGGGTAGCTTGATTTAAAAAAAAAAACTTTTTACTGTTACTTAATAGTAACATCATTACGAATTTTTAGAAATTTATATATATTAATACTTCCATAGCCCTATGCATATATGGTGTCTCAGTAGTGAAACACACTCGTATTTTCGGAGGAAAAACGAAATTGATGTTAAGAAAGAGAGGTTATTTTGGAAATGTTTTATGATAGAAAGAATATTATAACGTTGGTATATTGTTGGACATGAGTGTGACGAGATTTTTGCAGAACGGCATTAAGATTTCGAAATGAAAAAACTATTATACGTATTTTTGACATTATGCCTTTGTATCGTGTTTGAAAAAAATGGGATGTATTATGTAATTTCCTGTTCACCTATTGCCTTAAAATTTCTACTTTAATTTTATTATTAACTTTACGATGTCTTCAATTTTCATAAACCTGTTGTATTTATTCATTAATTCATTCATTTCGAAGAATTGTATCACTTGCATGTTCTATTACTTAATCTCAAATAGACATAAGGGTATGTTTTTAGTAATAACAAGTGTGATATGCGCGCATAGTTTTTATTTTGTGCGATACATTTCTTCCGTTAAAATATGTTGTGTTTCAAATAAGAATAGGGCTGACCTGGTGCCATATCGTAACGTCATAGCTGTCAAATCAAACCAGTTGGGCCATGCTCACCATGAGCAAAATAGATATTTTTGAAATAATATTTATTTACAAAAGAACCACCAACGAAGAAGTATTAATCTGAATCTAGCATTTCAATTTCGCTCATCTCTTGATCACTGTCTACTCAGACATCATTATCATCATTGCTGTTTTCCCTTACAAAAATAGAACATGAATTTATATAGTTATTTAAAATATTCCACCGACTATTATCTTTAAACTAATTTATAAAAATAATGAGTAGTTAAATAGATTTGATAATACTAAAACTCAGTTTAAAGAAGCTGAAAAAAATGTTACTAATACGCAAATTAATTTTCTTCGCAAGCCGTACTTTTCAAGCGACGGTTGACAGATCGCGGTCATTGGAGGTCATTGACGTTCCTGTTCTTATTTGAATTGCATTGTATGTATGTAGAAGCAGCAACGATAAAATGTTCAATTCCTGTCACTACCTACCGTTAAAATAAGATTTTAATTTGTAAGGGCAGTATCACATTAGTGTATTTATTCCATATTATTTCATTCTTTACAAAGTAAAAATACTTCCTAGCACTTTGAGGCGAAAAATTCGTTTTTGCAATCGCAATGTTTACTTCAAAACCTTGGGATTGCAGTTAATCTAGATTTGAAAATCAATTGATTACATCAGACACAAATTATGTCTCTGGTTTGAATTCATCTGTTTTTATCCTGCTTCAAAACCCTCTCAGAAATGAGGCTTTATACCCTGTACCCACTTGCGGCTCAATAGACATTTTTAAATGGATTAAGTGGTTGTGGAGCACTAATGTGATGTCGCCCTAATAATGAAACTAAAATAATTGTAAAACTAGTCACTCTGGCCCGACGTGCTGTTTTTGTAGGTATATTTTCGAAATATAATACATTCTCGAGAAATGTTAATATCATGGTAAGGTGCTACGGAAACGAGGGGATATTGTGTGGTATGCTAGTTGAGATTTTGA